GATCTATATCCCGTGACATTCATTATAACCCCAGAAGATTACATTCATCTCTGCCAACACCACCTGTCCTGCTAATGGTGTTTCATTCCTCACCCAGAGCCCAGTTCACACGTGAAGGTAAATACAAGAGGGAATACAATGCAGGCTCTTGTTCTCTTGTCCAGGCAGGAGGTATTTTTAAGGTAGAGCAGAATGTTTTTATTTGGCCTCTTAAGTATTTTTTTTTTAAACCAAAATGTGTTTTTATTGTTTTTGTTTAGTTTGGAAAGAAATCAGTAAAGCAAACCAAATATAATAAGAACAGATACATTATAACATTTGGAAATAAAGTTTGAAATACAAATCACGGAGAAGAAAGGGATTTCTGAATGAGCTGAATTGAATTTATACATAATTCAGTGACTTTCTGTTTGGGTCATGTGGTTTCCATGCAACTATCTGCTTTATTTTCAAAACAGCAAAGCAGGGGTCAGCAATACAACACGTTAATATTAACTTATAGACTTTAGATATCACATGAATTAGATAGACAGTACTACCCTAATAGTGGAGGGATAATTAGGTAAAAGCAATTAATTAATCAGAATAAAAACTAAAACTCTATACAAGAAACATGATTAAATGCATAAATGTGAACTTTTTAATCATGTTTTTTGCATATAGTTCTACTGATGATTATCTTGAAATTAAATATATATATAAATGCACGCGATTATTTAATTTAGGTTATTTTGTCTTATTAAAATTACGCAAATTATATTAATACCTGTTCTAGATATTTCATTCAGATCACGCACGTTTTAAACAATTTTAAAAGTAAATGTATAATTTTTAGTTAAATAATCTCGGCGGAGAGCTGCTCTTCCTCTCTGCAGAGGAGCAGAGCTGCATTTCCCTCTTTCTAAAAGGGGAAAAGCAGAAAAAAACGCTCTCTTACTCAAACCCGCTTCTGTATTTTCCTCCACTAACTTCTGTGTTGTGATTTATTATGTTTCCCACCTTTCTTTTTTTATTTATGTGTATGTTGTGGTTTTCGCAGCTCCCTACTTCTCTCCTGCGGCTGGAGGAGCGTCCAGCGAGGGGCGGTCGATCCTGCGGCCGGGGAGCGCCTCTCTGCGCGCGGCAGCCGAGTTTCCCAGACGCCGCTGAGTCACGCGGGACTCAGTCCTGTTCACGCGGGATCACCCTCTGCACGCTGCCTGCAGCTGCTTCTAATGAATGCACCGAATTTTACAAACATATCATTATGCACATTTTTTATTAAATACATTTTATATTTTATTTATGTTTTTTTTAATACTTTATTAGAACTTTATTAGAACGATGACGTTTTCTGGAAGAAAAAAAAAAAAAAAAAACAAGCCGACAATTTGTGCAAAATCTAATACAATATTTTGGCTGAATTTTTTAATAGCAGTTTTTTTAATATAATTTTTTTATCTGTTGCATAATGAAACCGTTTTTTTTTTCATTTACCTAATCATATTTAGTTACTTAACACCATTTTTTCATGTTAGCAGGGTAGGACATAAACCAATTGCGCTAAAGTAACTAAATATGATTACGTAAATGCCAAAGGCGGTTGCATAATTTTTCAGTGTATAAAATAACCACATAGTTGTTTTTAAAGTGTGTTTCCCGTTCATCCTTTTACTCACAGTCCTGCCTTTTATATTTAGTTCCTACAGGTATTTACATTTTATTTTGGAGCAACAGGACTATTGGGGCTGTTATACATGCAGTCATTCTTGTGTGTTTTTCTTAGAAATAACTCAACATCCACATACATTTCTTGATTTATAAAAAAAAAAACATTTGATTATGTGCAGAATTTACCGGGGACATTTTATTTACTTATTTATTTATTTTAGGGCTGATAGGCTGGTATATCTAGCTACACAAAATTGAAACTTTTAGTAGTTCAAGTAAAAAAAAAAGAAAAGAAAAAAAAAGCCTCTCCTTTTGTTCAGAAATGAACCAGGATGGGTTATATTTATATTTATTATTGCATGAAATGGTGAGTGTGAGCCACAGGGGAGAATCACTACAGCGGGGAAATACAGACAAATACAAGCAGCCTGAGAATAAAGAGAGATGAGGACGAGTCCTGCTGTTTCTCCTCGCCACATTATCCCACTAGAGAGAACCCTGTTGGGGGGGGGGGGGCTCTCACGCGCGCGCGCACGTGCATACTTGTGTCCTGGGAATCTCCTCAGCTGTTTCTCCCCCACATGCACTCGCCTGCACCCTTCCCCTCTCTCTCTCCCCCATTGCACTGACAGCCCTAAACACCTCCACCGGTCGGATCCGGTTCCACTCGGCCCCGGATCGGGGGCCCCTGGCAGCTGACTCCAAGTTCCTGGCCAGGATTAAACCTCCTGATGGCAGCCACTGTCAGATGATTTACACGGCATACTGTACACACCAGCGACACGCTCGCCTCTGCTAATGGTTTATTACACTGATATAGAGCCTCCCTGCAGGTGGGTCAGGGTGTGTGCGTAATTAAACAGTTTAATAGAATAAAGAAATAAGTCAGCTGGGCTATTTACAGGTGATGAACTTGTTTCATGGTTTTTTGCATTGCAGGAGGGCATGAAAAGGTCCTATATTATTCTAATATTTTTTCTTTGAAGTAGTTTCTTAATAAGGTCATTCAGATGTATAAGCAAACTATAGGGACACAGGAGTGCATATATTCACATATATGCACTCCTGTGTTTTTATAAATGCTGTTAAAATCTATTCATTTTGATATAGTTTAATAGTTTTCAGTTGCTGCTCACTATTTAAGTTATTTCAATTACCTGCCACACTGGTTATCTACTTCCTTTTAAACTATTCTAACTTTTCTTATTGTATTAAACGATCCTGTTATTTTTTTTTAACTCTGCAACTCAGGATGTTTGTTTCAATGTCTTAAATAAAGTCAAATTGTAATCAAAGTTCTAACAATAAAAAAAAAAAAAGAAGAAACAGTTCATAATTTACTTAGCTGGACGTTTGCTCCCAAATAACAATAGAAAAAAAACAAACTCTGCTTTGGTTATCACTTGCTACTTTCATTTAAAAATCTTATTGTAATTTAGTTTCCCTCTTTTTTTTATTTTGGGAAGGGTTAATAAACATACAGGTTAATTAGTCAGTCTGAACTGAAAATCTCACATTTGTAGACTTTACTCTAATTGCACACAAGCTTTTATACTTGGAACCTTTAAGAAGAGCTAAATAGTTTATTTTCTCCATTGTGTCATACGTTTTATACCATGGAGATTTCTATCAGGATGCTGTATAACCTGCTTAATATACATATATATATATATATACCTCTGAGCCACTTTTCCCTTAAAGGGATTAGTTAGGGTTTGACTTTCTGATCAGGCACCTGGTGGGGCAGAGCAAAGGGGTCCACTATCAGCTGTAAGAGCCCCCCACCCCTATGGTGAGGTCTCAGAAGATGTGGGAGGGGGTGATCGATGATGGCCACAGCAGCTCTGCTCTGTGTGTGTTTGTGAGGCAGCTCTGATGGAGGGAGGGAGGGGGATGCTGTTTAAACAACCCTGGCTTTGATTGACAGGGCCGGGGGAGAGGGGTGAGGTGGTGGGGGCTGAGCAAGTGCTTGGGTAAAGAGAAGAGAAAGGTAGAAGAGGAGGGGGTGTAGATTGTGAAGGGGTGGCTGGAAACTGAAAACTGCTGCTGAAGGGAGTAAAGCGGGCTTTTAATTACCAGGACAGAGGCAGATGTAGCAGCATGGTGCCCCCACCTCAACAACACACAAACAGATGTTTTTTCTTTTTGCAATTCTGTTTTTCCCCTCAAACAGCTGGAATTCATCAGTTTCAGTATGTGTGCATTTATTAGGACCAAAAGCACACCTTTCATTGCTAGACATTCTTTTTTTTTATCAAGACACTTCCTGATTAGGATTTGTTTGATTTAAAAAAATAAAAATAAATCCTGTTGCTGTACCACTCTAAAATGTATTCACCCAACAGGCAGCTTTTTTATTTTTTTATTATCAAGCCATATAATTACACAGAGCAATTAATGGAATGAATTTGACTTATTTATTAAAAAATGCAATCAAATTGAGTGAATCAATATCTTGAAATTTATAATAAACTGAATTCTGAAAACAAATCAAGCTTTACATACGTTCTAAATTTGCATCACAAAGCAATATTAAATTATCTGTAATTATTTATAAAAAAATTTAGGTACTGAATAAAGAAGAAAAAAAAATAGAAATCTTAGAAAATTTGTTAAACACAAAACAATATGTCATCACCATTTTTTTAATCCATTACTAAAAATCCCCTTTAATTTGCTAGTAGCAGAAACCCATCAGTTTTAACAGTAAAGGTGCTGGTCTTTTCAAACCATGTTGTGTTTTATTTCATTCTTCAACAAATCCTTAAAAAATAAAATAAATATCCCGGCCTGTGGTTGCACCTTGCTGTTTTTTTCCTAATCATAACATGTTATATAAAAGAGATGACTTGCCGAATAATGGCAAACCAATTCTCTGTTTGTTTTATAATGAAATCACCTAATAAGACCAGAGGAAATGCAAATAAACTATGATATAATCTAGCTTTATACGGACTTCTATTTAGCATGCATGAGTGTAGTTTATAAGAAATTCCAAATACATTAGTTAGAAATTAATAAAACGTAGTTTTAAAAAAATAAGAAAAAATAAGCTTTAAGTTCATTAAACAGTAAAGACTCTAAAAGGAAAAGGCGTTTAGTTTTTCAATCCAGTTTTATTTATGCATTTTGAAACACAATACGATCCCATTCCTCACCCCCCCCGCCCCCTTAATTATCTTCTATTACAAAACTGATTGAAACACATTTATGTGAACAAAAAAATAAAATAGTGCCCCAAAAGTAAATAAAAAAACCCAAAAAAGTCAGGAAAGCGATGCAAACCCTTAAAAATGTTAAAGTACCACAATGTCCCTGCACATATAAAAATAAATTAATACTTTTGTGTGTCCAGTCACTGTTCATTTTATTTTTCTCACACAGAAAAACTTGCGGCTTTCGTAATCACCTATGTACACCAAATGGCCAATGAGAAAGGTTTATGTGCACCTAACGAGGTATAGAGACTGTGCCACGACAAACACCTTCCTCCACCCCCACAAGCAGCTATATACACCCCCCCCCCCCCATTAACCGACTATTAAATAGCTTTTCAAACACATGACACAGAGCAGACGTCATTAGATTACAGCAAAATCAGACTGTGTTGGACGAAATAAACATAACTGTACACAGTAGTACAAAAGGATGTTAAATTGCAAAAAAAAAAAAAGAATCAGTGAGCTTTCTTTAAAATATATCATTTCATGCACAATACATATTCCAGGGGAAAAAAATAATAAAACAAAACTCACAACAGTCATTTTCTTTTTATATTAAAGAACATAGCAGAATAAACTTTCCTGGTTTGAAAAAAAAAAGAAGAGGTGGAAAGTGTTTTTCTTAATTCTGGTGTCTACAGCAGGGCAGTAATCACCAGGCGAGCTGTAAAAAAAAAAAAAAAAAAAAAAAATTTGCAAGGTACAAACCCCAGATCTAACCCCCCGCCCCCACTTATTTGGCCTCAGGCACTTGGGATCGGACCCTGATCGGCCAATCCTGACTGTTGTGTGTGTGTGTGTGTGTGGGGGGGGTTAAAGCAGCCGCAGCGGTCGGCCTTTTTAGGTCCTGCTCGAAGAGGTAGGTACAAGCAGGGGGCTCAATCAGGAAGATTGGGCTTTTATTCTGTTTTCTGCCTCCAAGCTAGATGAATTACAGCATCCCTAAACTATCAGGCTGCCTTTAAGTCTTTTTTCTTTTTGATTCCCCCTCCCTGACTGAGCCCCCTATATCTGGCCCAGAGAAGAGACAGTCGACGGCAAGGCTTCTGCGGTGACGGTGCGACGCTTGGCTCGCTGACATTAATGGATCTGCAGCACACAAAGAGTGAAATAGACGTGGGGAGAAAGGCAGCAGCAGCAGCAGACTAGTGGGTAATTTCTCTCTCTTTTTTTTTTTTTTTCCACAACGCTGACCCAATATTCCCCTCGGGAACTGCTGCGAGACAGATGTCAAACATACATCTGCTACTGTTCAGTGCTATTCCAGGGAAGTGTATTTTTATACTCATTCATGTTTTGCTGCTTGTTCTCTTTTTTTTTTTTTTTTTTAGGTTCGCAGTTCTCTGTGCGCCAGCTCGGCTGTTGAGCAAACGGCTCTGGTTAGCGGAGGCCCCTGAGAGTGAAACATCAAGATGGAAACAAAAAGAAGCCAAGAAGACAGGAAACAAGAGTCAGAACTATGATAGAAACAATTACCTTGAAACTTTCAAGAAAGCTGACATTTCAAGGAGGAAAAGATATTTTTTAATCTGATGCTACATACTAATTAAATAAAAAAAACTAAACTAAAAACACTAAGAACCAAGGAGCAGCTATAAAGTTAAAAAAAGAACAAAACCATAAGTTAGATTGAAATAAATAGCACACATATAAACAGAATTCAGGGTCAAGTTTTAAACCAGAAAAAAAAGCTGCAGAACCGAGGTGAGCAGGCCCAGTCTGAGTGAGGAGCTCCACGAGACGAATAGCAATACTCTTTCAGAAACAGGTTTCTGTCCAGCTGCTGAACTCTGATCTTACGACTGCATATTTATTGAAGAGGAAACCTCTAAATCAAGAGTGTCATGTCTTCTCCTGGCCCGTGATGCCCACGGCTTTCTCCGCCGCACGCGGCTTTGTGTCGGTGTGCGCGTGCTGCATCGCCAGGAAAGGGTTGGTGGCGATGGCGCCTTGGCTCTGACCCTGAGCGCCGGGAAGCAGGTTGGTGATGGGCAGCTGAGTGTTGGAGAGCGGCAGCGGGGGAATCTGAGACTGCAGCTGCTGGAGGTCCTGCTGCTGTTGCTGCTGCTGCATCAGCTGGAGGAGCAACGCCTGCTGTTGCTGGTCCTGAGGCAGAGTGAGGGGTGGCGGGACAATAACAAAAGTATAATGAGGAAAAGATAATTAGGTTGAAACTCAAGCTAACAAGAAAAGCTCTGATCTCAGTTTGGAGGGTGTGACGTACCGCGGAAGAATGGGAGGACAGCAGCTGCTGCAGCTGATGCTGCTGCTGCAGGAGGAGTCTCTGCTGCTCGGACAGAAGGCCAAGGCGAGCGGCGCTGAGGGGGACGAAACCAGACAAGATCAGGGCAGTTTAAACACACGAGGAGAAACAGGAGGCTGCTGATGCAACATGCACACACAAAGCTAAGATGACATCTATTGATTTCCTTTGCTACAAATTAACTACAGGAGACATTTTTTTTCACAATTCAAATGACTGCTCCTCTACAGCCGCGTCTCAACAAATGTAAATATCACTGAAAACTATTACATATTTATTTAGGTTTATTTAGACCAGATATTCACTTTCTCTATGGATTTGAAAGCTGCTTGTTGTTCAAGGTTTATATCCAAGCACACTGCTCTAAAATTAAGTGGAAGGAAAAAGTGTGGTGGTTAAAAAGCATGAAAATATCAGCCGAACTGAAGGGTTTGTTAAGTAAATTTGATGCTGAGTTAATTTTCCAACTGGGCCTGGCTCCAGCCCACACTGCCAATAAAACCAGTACCCACTTTAACCACCATGGCGTTTGATTAGTTTGCAAACACATGAGGCAAGGCAAGTTTATTTGTAATTCAAAAATTCAGTAAATGGACAATGGAAAAGTGCTTTAAATGAATTAGATAATAAAATAGAAAAATAATTAAAACAGAATAAAAAAAAAATAAAAATAAAACAATTGGACCACAAAAAAGCAGAATAAAAGAAAGTAAAAAAAAACATGACAGAAGCAGATAGAGAAGAAAATAAACTAGTTGGATCACAACCTTAAACTGCTTCTCCATGTTTGGTTCTAGTTCTGGGTGGACAGAGTGGGCTACAACTAGACCTCAGTGGACTGGGAGGTTGATACACTCACAACAATCTGTTTACTGAGGTGCTGATCCATTCAGTGATTTATAGACTAACAGAAGAATTTTAAAGTCTATTATCTGAGCTACAGGGAGCCAGTGGAAGGACTTCAAAACCACTCTGATGTGTTCTACTTTCTTAGTTCTAGTGAGAACACAGGCGGCAGCATTTTGGATCAGCTGCAGATGGACCTCTTAGAAAAACTTATGAAGACACTGTTGCAGTCATCGATTCTACTAAAGATGAATGCATTCATTCGTTTTTCTTAGATCCTGCTTGGACATTAGTCTGTTAATCCTGCAGAGGTTCTTCAGGTGATAAAATACAGACTTAGTAACTACCTTTATGTGCCTCAGGTCTGAATCCAATGTCATCTAGATTTCAACCACAATCAGTGGGACCCCATGAATCAGCAATGCAGATAACCTCAGTGATGCAATATTTCAGGACTGGTATTGTGCAGCAGATGATCACATGTTTCAGAGGGAAAGATTTCTGTGCAGGGATTGTTTTAAATGGACTGTAAACCAAAACCATGAAATTGACCATTCTATGTGTTCTTAATCTATAGGAAAATTGTGCTGCAGACCTCTGCTCACCTGTTCTTACTACCTGCTGAGCTGCTTCAATCCAACATGAAGGCAAAAGGAAAGAAAGAAAGGAAATTTTCAAATTCAATTTAACTCTTCCTCAAGATACCAAAAGTTTCAACTTCCTGTCTGGTGGAAATTGTCCGGCATGAGAAGCTGCTTTTGTATACCTATTAACGGGGAGCGTGACGGCCGCCGCCCCTGTAGTGTGAGGGCTGCCGGGGCCCGCCGTCGGTTGGATCACTCCGTTCAACGCGCCGACGATCCCGCCGATGCCCAATGTGTTTCCCGCACCCAGAGCGCCCATCAGCCCCGCGACCCCACCCAGCCCGGCCGTCGTGGCGACACCGTTGAGCGCTGGCTGAGGCGGGCTCTGGGAGACGGAGGGGGAGGCGGAGAGCGAGGAGGTGGAGCCGCTGCTGCTGTGACCTCCGCATGATGCAGCGTCCTGAGGTTCAGACAAGAAAACAAATGGAGTTCATGGTCCTTTACCTTCAAAATGGGTTTTATCACACTAATGCTCATTACGTTACCACGCCCCGAAGCAGTGTTGTGATCGCTGCAGAACTCTGTTCTCACCTGAGCTGCCAAAGGTAGAGATGAGTCTGTGGCTCCGAGGTGGGACCCCTTCACATCAGCTACAGAGAAAAGCACAGAATTATTGACTGCTGCTATAAAGTATTCACACCCCTTTGAACTTCTCCACATTTCATTACATCATCTGTCAACATAAAAGTTCTCAGCTGGATTTCGGTCTTTACTTGGACTAGGCTCTTCTAACGCATGATTTGGGTGCTTAACTTTATTGTCTTGGTGTAAAATGTACCTCTTCCTCTCTCATCTCATGTTGTTTAACCTCTAACAGGTTTAATTTCTGCATTTGGCTCCATTCATCAACACCTTACAGTCCCTGTTGCAGAAAAGCATCCCCAGAGTACAATGCTGCCACCACCATGTCTCACCGTAGGCTTGTTGCTTGCAGACTGACCACATTGTTTAGCTTGGAAACCATAAAGCTCCATGTCCCCTACATAGTTTGTAATGAACCATAGAGAGTTTAGCTTTCAACTGTGTCTCTTGTCCCAAACACAAAAAAAATTAATGATTTTTTTTTTAATGAATGGTAAATCTGAGATGTTGACAGACTCTCCCAGCTAAGATCTGAAATGTGTTACAACTGTGATTTTATTTAGGGGTTTCAGAATAAAGGGGTCAGAACAGTCTTCATATTTTAAATAAAAACATGCACAGCATTCCTTCTACTTCACAGTTATGCTTTGTATTGGATTTTTACTAAACTTGCTTATACACAGTTTAATTTCCAAATTTCAGACGTTTTATGGTGTAAATTTCCATTTTTTTTAGCCTCAACGGATACTAGATGGATGGACATTAGAAAACAGTTGGATGGATAAGATAGGACAGGGAATTATATCTGAATATCTGAAAGTACTACTATCTTCTAGTGATTAACTGGTGAAGGCTTTTTTAAGGCAGATGCAGATACCGTTTATTTTCAGTCTAAGCCGATATGTGCTGATTATATTTTGTTCCATTTTTAAGGAGTTCTTGATTTTTTACACCACTTATATAATAAAAATGACACAATCATAACAAAGTCTCAATTTAAACACCCAAAAATATGAGGAAAACAAACAAAACATTAACAATAGATAGAAAATGGAGGAATCTGCATTTCACATGAAGATCCCATCAAGCATCGGCCAAATCCTGTTGACTGGCTGATCTATCAGTCTAATATTCATCTAATATTCTTACCTATTCCTATATTATTGTATTTAAAAACAAAGTTTCATCATTTTCAGAACAACTTTGACACAAAAATGTACCAAAGTTTCTCTATGAAAAAATAAAAACTTCTGAACAACACTAAATCTAAACAGATGAAAAAGTACAAACTCAGCAAGGTAGCTTTCGTTTCTTTTAAGAACTTATGTCTTTTACATCTTCGACAAATCATTGAGTGTTTGTATTTACCAAAGGAAGTGGTCGTCTGGGTAAAAGGCACTGATAGCTGCGCGCTGAGAAGCTGTAGCCTGTCCTTCTTCATGGTCAGGGTTTTAATCTGCTCCTCCAGCCTCCTGTTCTCCTCCTGCAGCTGGTGGAGCGACTTCAACATGGCCACCACTGATAGGAGGAGGAGAAGGAGGGGAAAACATCCTGTTATGGCCTCTGTTACGCTCAAGTGAATCATAAAAACTAAATACAGGTGTTTCCATATACAGGTGGATTGATATTTAAACTCAGGGGGGTAAAGAGGCTGAAATGAATAAAATGATCTGCTAAAAGATGGCTTTTCCAAAGAGTCGACTATGCTGTTCTCTCCTTTCACATAATTTATCCTGAAGGGATGTGAAGCTAAACCCAACGATGGTGAGAAATGGACCGGGATAGAGAAGGATTGCATCCGCTCACCGTCGCCTTGTGCTCCCTGCTGCAGCAGGAAGTTCTGCCCTTCGTTCCACTGCCTCTCTAGGAGCTGCTCGATGCTGGTGGCCACCGGGGGCAGCGTCTCCCCGCCGCCTCCCCCGGTCCCTAGCAACCCCAGCCCTGGCCCCGGCAATGACCCAGAGAAGTCATAACGGATCTGCAGGCCGCCAATGGGAGAACTGAAGGGGGGGGGACAGAAAAAGGAGAGATGGAGAGGTCAATAGGGAGATTAACGACCCAACATAAATGTCAGACAAACATAGACACTGCTGGCTATAAAACTACATCAATTTGTTGTTACAGTGGCCTCTAATGAAAAGGGGCCAGGCTTTCAGTCTGAGAGAGCGAGAGTCAGAGAGAGATGGGGGGGAAGAGAGGAAGGACGAAGAACCGTGTCTTGATGCGATAAATCCTGGCTGTTGAGACAATCTGTTGAGTGTGAAAGAGGGGAAACGAGAGACAGCGGGAGAGGAGAGGAGACGAGGATTTGGCGAAAGGTTGGTGGCAAGAATTTAACACTTTGCTTTGTAAAAGTTCACGCCAGGACTGGGTGCAGAGGAGGAAAAACTAAAGCTAGACTTATGTTTTAAAAAACAAAACCACTGCTCACTGTCAAGTAAGTTCAGGTTCGGTCATTACAGTTTACACAGCACTGACCTACAGGGCAGCCGTGAGTTACCAACCTTATCAGGAGCATCAGCCATCCCACAGAGTGGAAGAAACAACCAGAAATGCATCTCTATGATCAATATCCCCATCCTGAAGGATCCATAAAAGTATTCCCAAAAGCAAAAGACACAGTAAAATCCTCCGACTAGCTGTCCACGGGTGAGTAAAACCAGGAAAAAAAAACCCAAAGTGAACCTGAAGGACGGTTACCTCCTTTAAAACTAGTTATCGTTGGCTAGGAGAGCCAGGATTGCCTGCAGGGCTAAAAGCGAAAGAGGGAATGTGTGTAAGAGCGGACTGAGGGAAGGGGAGACGAGGGGCCAGCGGAGGGAGAAAAAGCAAGAAGAAAAAGAGTGAGGAGGGGGGGAGTGAAGTATGAGGGGCAGTGAGGAATGTAAATGGTGAAGGAGGGAGGATGTGTGTGCTCTCACCGCGGGGTGGTCTTAGGAGAAGCTCGTATGGAGAAGCCCTGAGATCCGCTGCTGCTGCCGCCGCCGTCTCCAACCTCCTGATCTGCACACACACACACACATACACACGATGAAAATCAATGGGATATCTAAGAAAACAGACATGAATTTGGAGGCAGTTTGTTCGCCAACAAAATGTTAAAACATCCACCAAAGGCTGGTAAAAACTGTTTTTTTTTCTAACCTCTTGCACCCTGCATTTAAATACAAACTGTCTCTACATGTTTCCATCAGACAGAGAAAACAAGAAAATGGATGATTTAATTGCTTGAATTGTACAAATGTTACTTTGGTTTAACCAAAACTCCAAATTAAGCTGCAGGCCTAACAAACAGAACTGTGCAGTACTTGTAATAGCAGAGATGAGGCCTGGTCTCTGCCTTTTAATGACAGTCACCACTTACAAGAGTTTGCAATGCACCGCAGCCCCTCCCTCACCTGTTGCTGCACATAAACATCCATAAAAGAGCAGAACATAACAGGTTGCAACAGTAACAATCCATACGTGTGGTTCTTTTCTGTTTTGAGTTAAATGATTTCAATAATTTGGTCTATTTCATATACGGTATGTTTTCCATTTTTGTGTACATTTTCTGAGACAGTTTGGAGGGGCTGCAGTGGCACTAAAAAAACTAAACGCCATTTAGTTTTACTTTTCCTTCTTGAATGATTCAATCTAACATTTCTGTAAAACGTTTATTAATATGCTTATTATTCAGTGGTTCCCAAACTGGCTTTTAAATAATTTATGGCAGAGTTTAGCTGCACCATGGTGCATCTCTTTAGCTACACTAAGAAAACCTAGAATATTGTTCCCCAAAATATCCACCTCCTCTAACCCCTGATACAACTATTAAAACTTTAATAAATGCATCCAGATTGGTTCTTTTATAATTCGTTTCCTCTCCAGTCGAGATTACGGGCACTACAATCCCAGAGACTCTGCAAGCTACGACCATCTCCCTTTCACTGCATCTCCAAAACACGAGCCTTCATTCACGCTGCATCCCCCCCGCCCTCTCTCTCTCTGAGAGACTCTCCATCTCTCCTCCCTCTGGGCCCCTGGCCAGACGCTTCTTTTCATTTTCCTCAGTCACAGTAATGAATCACACATGCGCACACACTTTTGCATTTATACACTCGCGCAAACTCCCCTCTACTTAAGACAGTCAAATCCTAGCTTTTTTTTTTTCTCCTTTCCTCCCCCCACCAGGTCACCACTCCAGTCGCTGGGCTCCTCTTTTTAAAGTCCCTTTTCCGTCGTAACCCTTTCCGTTCTGCCAGCTCCCGCCAGACGGGTGCCAAAGTAAACACCCCCCACACACATATACACACACCTAGTGTGTATATGTGTGTGTGTATATACACACACACCTAGTGTGACCCTTGGAAGCCGATAAAATGGAAGACTAAAAATGCTTCCAGTGACTGGGCAGAGCTATGACTGATTATGACAGAATGAGATTATTTTAGAAGCTTGTTGTTGCCAGAGCGATAAGGTTCACACATCAATCAAGAAACTGTAGGACAAAACAGGAACTGTTTAATAATCATTGTCATTTTAAAGCAAATAAGAATCACATCTCATTTATTTATAATAAGTAAATTAATTACTGCTTTACACACACTTTAAGGCATTTTAAAGAACTTAATTTTCCTTGAATACAGAGGAATTTCTTACATAAAACCAGCTTATGTGTCCCTACTTAAAACCTGCACAGCCCCTAACAAGAAACACACACACCTCAACACACACACACACTGACAGAAAGAAAGAAAGCCCTGTAGCTCCCTGACATTCAGCCTGATTAGTGAGCTGACCTGCAGGTCAGAGTGGATCTGGCTCTGATGACTGGCAGCAGGAACCACTTCCTCCTCTCCTCCCTTTATCCCCTCTTCCTCTCTTTTTCTCTTGTTTCTCTGCTCGCTGGCCAACCAGATGTCTTGCATCAGGAAGCAGCTCCTCCTGATTGCTTAAACCACTTCTAACTCCCTCCATGAGCTCATCTGTATTTCGGACAGACTGCGACATGTTCCGACTTTTTACCAAGTAGCAGTCGTGGCGCGGGGATCCTCTACTCCCCTTCATGTTAAAATAAACAAATAAAAAAAAGCAGCAAGCGATGTGTTGATGCTCCACCCACTCCAAAATAGAGGTAGGAGGAGCTTAAGACTATCACTGACCCCTGACCTCACAGTGGGATCAAGAGGGCGTGACCTATCCATTATCTTCTTCTCTTTCACACACTCTCACATTAGGTATCACAGTACCTGCTGGCGAGGCCTCAGACTGAGCGATGAGAGCTGCCATGCTGGAGTTGGGGTTCAGCCTGTTGCCAAACATGTGTGGGGGGGCCAGGTTGAACACGGGGCCCGGCAGAGCCTGAGAAATGAGACAAAAAAAGCAGAGGGGACACATCAGTTGTTGTTTCGTATCTTTACAATTTATCGTATTCACATAAAAAGATGGCTGGGTGTTTATGGTTGAGTGTGTGAGTCGATGAACAATCTTTCAACAAGGCGTTTGAGATAAAAACTGATAAAAAGCATTAGTAAGAAGATCTTTTGAACAATAAAAATAAATAATAACCAAAAACTGCGGAGGGATTATATGTTTAATATTAATTAAAACAGATGCAAAGATGGCAATAAAATTAATTCCAGAGAGAGAAAAAATTATGTTTTTTATGATAAAACAAAAGATGTGTTTTAGTTTCTTTTAAGGTAACGACCTAAAATGAATAATAATAATTCTTGAATAAATAATATTAAAAAAGACACATATTATTTTGTAATTAGACTTCATGTGGGGACTATCTGAATCAATTATGTCCAAACTATTAAAAGAAAAAAGACAAAAAGTGAAGCTTATCATTCTGCTCCAGATATACGCAGCGCTGGGAGCGTCCTCGCACCCCGACACTACGCTGACATGCTGACAAAGTGTTTCTGATGCATAGAGTTTAATCCAATTAAGGCATTTCCCAACTAAGGGGCTGTGGTTTGACGGGCCGGGCCGGGGTGGGTGGGAGCGAGAGGGTAGAGCATGAGGAGGGGAATCTGCTCCACTTAAAGAACAAAATGGCCGACTGTTAAATGCAGTGGAAATCACTGTGACCAAACCGAAACATGTGACGATGCAGAAAAGTGATTAAAATAAGGGAGCGCTCAGGAAGTCGGCAGCTTCCTTAAGACTCAACCGGACCATGAAGATCAGCTATGATCTAAAAACTAACAGTATGAAGATAAATATTTACTTTAGCTGGTTTTAAAGACGTGTTTACGGCATATTATGTGTTAAAAAAAACAACAAAAAAACAAGCAAACCCATAGAAAGCTGCACGTGAGAATAGCAGAAAATGATTAATAATGTTTAGGAAAGCCTTCAAGCTATGAATACATGTTTATTTTTTTTAAATTAGACTATTAATAATTAATGAATTGGGATTTTTAAGATGGGAAAGACCTAAAAATATTGATTCTTCTTTAATTCTTATTTCAGAATCTATAAAGCAACCTGTTCCGCGCTCCTCCTAACGCCTCCTCCTCCATCCCTTGTCTCCAGAAGCCTGCCCCCTTTCACATCAACATTCATTTTTCATTTGCATTCATTTTTCATTAAACTGCTTTCTCTTACTCCTGTCTTAGGCAAATAGCCAATAGCAGAAGGCCAAGAGTCTGTCAGCGGACTGCAAACAGCGAACCGTCTCAGTCTTTCTCTCTCACACACACACACAGACGGGGGAAGCCTGGTTTGTTGGCTTCAGTCTGCAGTTGTGTCAGTTCTGCAAACTCAGCTCAAAGTCGGCATGCTTCCCACAAACAAAGGCTTAGAAAGAGGAGATGAACAAAATCCTCTCAATTACACAAAGGTTTACACCTTTCTCCTGTCCCCAGGAACATGCATTAAGCTGAGATATAAAGGCCAGGCAGCTGAACACCCCCCCTCCACCTCTACCATACAGTCACCCCTCCCTCATTCAATCTACCTCTCCATTCCTACTGCTGAGATTGTCAGATGTCATTACATCTCAGGACAACGGTGGAGGAAGAGAGAAAGCGTAAAGTGCTCGCGGGGGTGGGATGAGGTTGGACAAAGACGGTCAGGTTCGGACATTGAAAAATGTAAATCCGCTATTATCAGGTCTAGAATCAATGTTCTCAATATCGTCACTGTGTTTGTGTAAAAAGGCTGGAAATATTCAAAACCTGTTGATTCGTGCAGAGGTAATTTATTGAACTTTATTAACGATTTCTCCTGCTGCATAAACAGACCACAATTTAGCAGTGACAATAATTCAGGTACACATGAACAGACAGTCTGTCTGTCTTCTGGATCATATTACTTCTTTCAATCAGATCCAGTACACAGTGAATATGTGCAGGTCAAGCTTAAAAACAAATTAATAAACTGACTTTTAGATGAGTTCATGTTCATTATTATCAACGATGACAGTAACATCAATGAAATAAATGCAGATTTACCAACGTGAAGAGTTGAACAACACAAAGAGTTGAACTATGGCTTCAAATTTAACAATCTATCAGTAGCTGTGCAGCCATTGTTGAGATTTTTTTATGCATTTAGCATGTTTAGAGTCTACCCCTTATTAGGAGATACAATGGAAGAGTTCCAGTCTGCATTCTGAACACAATGCCACCAGCATTCAGACTAAGATTTACAAACAGAAAAGATAAGCTAGAACCTTAAAATAGCTTTTGTTAGTAGCTCAGATTGCTGTATGGATGCTTTAATTGTTAAGGCTTTCGGGAAGCTGCACTATAGACAGATGCCCTTTCAGAAGAAAAAAGAATATAAAGCAAGGAGCGTTATTTTTTGTCAAAAGGGGTTTATTGTGAAGGTTCCAATGAAGGAGTGCCTCAGGTTATCAGCACTGTCAAAACTTTTGCCAAAAAAGATGCTAATTACGTTTCTTCACACATAAAACATTAATAGGTGTATATAGTAGCTGTTAAACCCTTGGTTAAATGGATGAAATGATCAATCAGGCTCTTATTGTGAAGGTTTGAAGGAAACTGTCTCAGTTTATCTGCTTCAGCTACTAGTGATTTTGCTAAAGGATTTAACTGTTAAGTATTATGTCAGTATCCATGAATCAGATGGCAAAGGTTGCTCCATACCTTTTTGATATGGTGGTTAATAGAAACAGTAACATTAAAATAAAATTCTTTTCTCTTTAATGCATAAAGTATACATTTTCTGTACAGTTTAGGATAAATCGCTGCTTTAAGTCAGTTTGTTCAACAAATGGTGAGTATAAAGTTTGTGTACACCAATTGGGGATTTTTTTTCTATTAGCAAATTAGCTGACAATTATTTAAAAATTCAAAAAAACAAATTACTTAATTAGATTTAATGTTTTGAAAATATTATAACAATAGATCTAGTTCAAAACATTGCCTTTAAACCGCTATTAAAAAGGAGAGCATTCAATGCAGAATTTTCTCTTTCAGCATTGGCGACTACAGGCAGAGGATTGATAGATTTGTTTCTTTGAGAATTTTTTTAAATATCCCTTTAAATAACATGTCATGTCCCTTTATCACACAGCTGACATTCTTTTTTGGTTAAGCTTGATGACAAACTGCATTTTTAATTAAAACCATTTCATTAAAGCCATTGTTCTTGTATTCTTACTCTTAACAGCAGTACTATAATAAATTGTACATCTGTAAATGTTTTAAATGCTTCGTAATTACGGCATTAAAGGATGAGGACAGGCTCTTATTAGGAAACGTGCTACGACATTTAAAGCAGATCAGATCGGGATGTAAAGTTAACTAAAAAGCTAATAAGTAACACGCACTCTGAAAGGAAGCTTTTTCTGCAATTTGGTGTTTAACTGTGGCTTTCATGTTTAAGGTTTCTACTTTCATGTTTTCTAAAAGAACTCCAAACATTTCATCGGTCTTCAAAAGCGTGGCCTTGATTTTTAGACCCGCTTTAAGGGATGATCCCTGGAGAACGAACTCAGACGCGTCTTCTGAACCGTTCTCCAAAGCATAATAGGACATGCATTCAGCCTAGGCAGCTTCCTCCAGTGATTCTTTCTGCTGGAACCCCGAGTGTATTCAAACCGATGGGTTTGAGACAATACTGAGTATTTCTTTCTGTTTACACCAAAAAAAAAAAAAATTATTCTGTGCGTTTTAATTAGCTGAAATCCATCACAACCTTGTTCACTGAGGTTAATAGAACCGAATCAGTCGAGAGAATACACACTTTCTAATGACATGTTTGGAGAACGAGAAGAAAGCTCTATTTTTTGTGCTTTCAATGCATGAAAACGACCCTCCACAGGTGCACCCGGGCTTCGGCAATACATCATCCGACAATAAAAAGTGACTCCACACAAGGTCGGAATGCACACGTTTTATTTATTTATTTTGCTTTACAGACAATTAACGTGCAGAAGTTTAATAATGGTGCTGAGAGATTTGCCACAGAAAGCATTTAATTGCACGCCATTTGTTCCTCGTGCGGTTCATCTCCACTTGAGCTCGGAGCTGGGAGAGATGTGGGTGAATTGAGCGATGCAGGGGGTTGTTGAATAAAAGCAGAGCGCGCGTGAAAGAAAAGGGAGAAATGGAGTGCGTCGCTGTGGGTTTGATGCTTTTTCATGCGTGCCAGAGTGAGGTGGGTGTGTGTGAGTGAGAGTTTTCAGCTAACGCTGCGTGTTGGGACTCACGTGTGTGGAGGCTGTGCTGTTGAGCGGTGCCGTGGCTGTGAATGGAGAGGGAGGCGCTAGGGAAGGTGTGGGCTGCTGTTGCTGTGACAACTCGGCGCACGCCCCGCCCATGGCGACGGCTGCTGTCCCCGACGATGACCCGTCGGCTGCAGAGAAGACACCTGTGGAGAGATAAAACACTGACAGCGTCATCCTAATCCTTAGTCCCACTTAAATCATAAAGCGGCGATACGTTTAAGTAGATGATGGAACAGTTAACACATCATGTCACAAAATGTATTATAAATTAATAATCAAATGTGCAAGCATCTGATGTTGGCTAGGTTTAATAGGCTATCTTAGAAGAATAAAGATTTTATTACGATTGGAAAAATGTATGTTCTTTAAAGTCAAAAGTCTACAAAAAGGAGAAAATGCTTGGGGTTTAAAATAAACCTAATGAAGTTTGCTCAAAGCACAATTTACAAAAAAACAAACTAGCTGGGAATAGAAAATATAAACAAATAATAGATATAATGGTAACGTCAGATAATTGCTGCTGTGAGGCATAAAAAAAATAAAATAGAGAAACTAAAATAAAAAAAGAGATTAACTGAAAGGATTAATTAGGAAAATTTAATGTAATTAAATCAAATAAAAGTAACTAAGGAATAAAAAAAAAACTTTCAAAATATAGTTATTATGCTTTTTATTTTTTATTCTGAAATTAAATCAAATTACAGGTATCAAATTTATCTAAATTTATGTTATCAAAATTCACCCGTCCCCCGACACATGCCCCTGTCCAACATCTCTCCTCCTTCTCCTCGCCCACTAACCATGGATAAGCCCTGCCCCTGCCTCCCTTTGACCTCAGCAGAGGAGGGAGCAGCGGGGGTGGGGGGGTAAAGGGGCCCCTCAGCCCCACAAAAGCCTGAATGGCTTAGGGCAGCACACATTCACTGGGGGAACAAGAGATCTTTGTGCCAGGAGGGGAGGGGTCGGAGGGGTGGAGGGAGCGATAGATAGGAACACTACATGGGCCGACATACTATTTATAACGCTTTGCAATATGCAGCAGAAAAATTGATCCCCGAAGCAGGGGTGGGCAAGGATCCGGGGGCGGGGCGGGGGTTGGGGGGGGGGGGGTGCTAATGCAAGGATTTCAGCAGCTGGATTAAAGAGCGGACCAACAATTTATCAGAGTTTAGCTAATGCAATGCATGAAATCAGGTTGTTGAAAGAAAATGGTGAGAAAACCAAAGAACAGATCAGAGTTATTTTGTAAAACACAACAGATACATTTTTTTTTTTTAAATAGGTTAACGCTCTAATTTTAGATTTTCATGAAATTTTTAGCAATATTCCATAATTAACTTTTTTTTTTTATTATTAAAACGTTAATTTATTCTAAAATATTTAAAGATCCCCTTACTGCTAATGGAAATATTACGAGAGAGACATTAAAAGCGTAAACTATCCCACTTAAATAAAACAGATTTTAACAATTAACAGCTTTTCCTTCAAAATTAGATAATAATAAAAAATAGCATAATTAAAATAGAATTAAACCAGACTATATTGTGTGGAAACTGAAAAGATAAAGACTTTAAAGCGACCTAAATTAATTCTTTTTAGGAGCAGAATCTCACTGGTCTCAATTACACAGCAATTCCTCTAACGCTTTTGCTGTTTCTTCCAAAAAAACGTAATCATATCTAATATCTTCAGTCTAAATTGGAAATCTCTAATAAACAGTAAAAAAAAAAGATAGAACTGCACCAGACATCTACAAAATAAATCATTATTTTTAAAACTTGGGTGTAAATAGTGAGTATTATCTGAAGCTGCAAACCAGAGCCTTTCAGCTTGTTTTAGCGGGACAGAGCTGATGTAATCGCGAGACACACCAAGTGTAACCACAACAACACGGAGACATTTGTTTTCCTGAGTTCTCCACCAACAAACAAAAACAAAAACTAATTTAAAGCCAGAAGCAGGGCGGCTGTTTGATCAGAGAGAGGAATAAAATGCAGGGAGGTTTGCTTCAGTCTAATAAAAACATGTGAGCCACTAAAACACCAAGAGAAATAAAGAGAGCTGCAAGAATCATGGGCAGAAAGAAAGGAAAGAAGAGAAACAAAGTTAAATAAACAAAACCGGATTTGTTTTTCTAGTATGCATCGTTTTAAATTATAGGGGAAGGAAAAAATATACACTATATTGGAAGAGTTTCAACTAGCTTGGTTTTGTTTATATATTCCAGCATATAGGTGTGTGTGTGTGTTTTATTAGCCACAAAAAAATCCTATTTTTAGACATGACTCATAATGTTAAAATGAAAATAAAAAAAGCTAAATTTTTATTTAAATGTAAAATTAAAAAACAAATCAGTACTTCTGTATTTAAGATGGTTCGTTTGGTTTTCAGTTTGAAACCTTCCAGAATATTTTGCTGCTTTTCACCACTTCCCCTCACGTGTGCGTAGCCGAGACAAAGCTGCTGATTATCAACCTAGGAATTCCCTGGGATTAACTCCTACAATTAAACATGTGATCATTTAAGTGAGTTAATAAATACACATAAGCGCCTTAATTTGGTCTGCCTGGTTTCTTCCCCTTTTATGCATTTACACTCCAGCTGCCCTGAATAAATCCAGGATCTTTCCTCCCACACACACACACACACACCCACATTGACCTGACTGTGCTCGTCCGGCTCGTCCGTCCCACTGGTGACCCCGCAGCCATCAAACATTAACCTAGCCAAAATCTCACCCCTGCTTTTCCCCATCCACCAACACGTTTCTATCAGACCTACTATCTATCCATCAGCAGCAGACAGGAGAGTGAGAGGGAGGGGGAGGGGGGGGGGGGGGGGGGGGGGGGGGGGGATGCCAGGATTCTTCCCATTACTGCCCTGCATTAACCCTTAGCTAAATATTTACAGTAAGCGGGACAACTTCTCCTTCTCTCGCTCTCACACCAGTATATATGAAGCACAGACATGCGGATCCGCCGCCTGATCCGACCTCGGCGTTTGTGGTCAGAAATGGCAGCGCTGCTTCAGGGAAAAGCTTGAACTGAGAACCTGAGACGGGACGCTGAGTCGCAAATATGCCGAACCCCCCGCAGCAGAAAATAAACCTAGATAGTGGCTCACCATCTCACGATCTTATCTTCTGGTGATTATTCACATTAGTTGGGGTGTAAAATTAATAGAAGTTAAGAGAGGGATGTGTAGCGACAAGTCTGCATGGGTTTGGGATTGCTCCTAAAAAATAATTAAAAAAAAAGACACACTTTGCATTGTATAAATAAAGAGAAAAAAAGAGCTTATATCAAATTGGTAAGATGGGAAAAAAACTAACCTGTTGATCTACTTAATTTAAATATTAAAATAAAAAAACAACATAAAACAGCTAAAGAGAATTTCAGAAGTAATTTAGAACGTAAATCATTTTTCTGCCAAATTAACAACTACATTTAAACTCTAAAACCACATTTTATATTATTTGCTAATCTGCTGTTAAATTAAACACCTCTCACATAAGTAAGAATTTATATTTTTTTTTTTATTTAAGTACTTGAGATTAATAAATACAGTAATGTTATTATTTACAATAAAACAAAAATAAAAGTAAATTTTTTTTTTTTAAATCAGTAATAAATGTACAGTTTTATTGCTCTAAGCTGATACTTTCCCCCCTTTATTGGACTTAATAGATAATATACAATTTAGATAATATATAACTTATGGTGTTTGTTAATGTAGCGGAATGAGTCGGAAGAAAATGCTGTGAAAATAGTAAACAATAATAAATAATCAAATCTAATGCTAATAATGTTTTTTTTTTCTTCGTTAAAATAAATAACATATAATGTGTAAACACATACTTCCAAAAAACTAAAATGTGTTTGTTTTTTTCTGCAGCTTTTCCATGCAGGTTAAAGGTAAACCGTGGATTAGGCAAACTAAGCCCACTGGAGTGTGTCTGTGTGTCGTCTTCCATCGGAGCGCGGGCTCCGCCGCTGAGACAGCAGTCTATAAAACAGCCGTACCGGTCTCTGGCTGCATTAACAAACACAGCTACTTAATGTTTCATGTTTTCTTTAGGTTGTGGGATATTTTATTGTGCGACTGGGACAACAGCCAGTAAACGTTGCCAGATTGCTCACAATCATTGATTTCTCTCACCCTACAGTCTCTTTGGGGTGTTGGATTTCTATATTAATAAATAAGTCACAGCAGCGCACTCCTAAGTTAAGGAAACTCTTAATAATTTAGCATTTCAGGTGAACTTAAATGGAGGGAGGAATTTAAATGCTGAATGCTTTAACAATAGGGTGGAAATAAAACGGCATGGGAAGAATCTTGATCCTGGTCAGACTAATCACCCCATCTGCAGTAATACACGGTATATAAACAGTCCGTAAATTTACATTTGTCAGCTTTTTAAAGCTTTAACTGATTAGCGACACTTTGAGAGACAAGCAGAAGACAGGTACGAGACAGAAATCTGAAAGCTTGAGGTAGGAAACAAAAAGGTGATGATTCTGGGAGAAAGGGGAGGTGTGGGAAGTGAGGAGCAGACTGAGCCACTTCCATCAGCCCAGGGAAACTCCAAAGCATAAAGGCAGTTGCCAAGCAACTGAACATGATGGGGGAAAAAAAAAGAAATATACAGAGCCTTTTCCACGTGTGTGAGCAAGATGCTCAATCTACCACACACGCATGCACAGGGACACACACATGCAAATATTGAGGCAATTAGAAAAGTGAATCAAATCCTTGCCATTAGTGATTGGTAATTTAATACTGTGCTGAGGCCGTCCTCAAACCCCCTACTGAATTATTTATGCACATTCAGAGACTCGGGGATGTGTGGAACAGAAACTGACACAAACGGGCCATATTGGACTTTACTTATAATTTGGTTTGATTGTATCAGAGCACCAATGAGAACAAGGAGTCCAAACAAGAAGAGATGCACAGATCAGCAGGTCAGAATGGGAACTTGCACATTTTTCTTGATCTGCTGGTCAGAAACTAAAAATGATCTTTTTGTTTTATAAACTTCATGCTTCTAAAATAACTAGTAACATTTTTTTTTTTTAAGACAAAGGGTCCCAATGAGGTCAAGTCCTGCATGAAAACCGGAAGTTTGTTCCAGCCAGGAGAAGCTAGAACGGTGTCTTTACAAACAAGTCTTAACTGTGCTGTTAGGACGACACAATCCCTCCATCAGTCTGAACTTTGCAAACATCTCCAACTCTGTGTTTGTGTTTGTTTCTCACCTGAGCTGCTGGTTGCGGAGCTGCTACTGCTTTGCAAACTTCCGTTCCTGAGAAGTGACGGGGATTTCTGAATGCCGACGCCCAGGACCCCGATCGCCCTGTCTCCTCCTATCCCCGCTCCCAAACCGCTGCTGGAAACTAAGCCTGGTCGGCCTGAGAGAGTCGAGGGCGTAGCCGAGGCGGTGGAGGCTGGGGAAGATGAGGAGGAGGAGGTGATGCTGGCTGCAGAGGAGGAGGAGGTGGGGAGGGTTAGGGATGGAGCTGCCTCCGAGGGCTTTGTGTCTGTGGTGAAACAAGGTCCGAATCGGTTTCGCCAGTTGCCCTTCTTTTTCTTCTTCACGCCGTCCTCCCCTCCTGCTATCGTGCCGCCCATCCCCAGCCCGCTGCTGGAGGCCTGGGATCGTTTGTAGCCGGTCGTTCCGACGAGGCTGGTGGTTTCGCTGGCGGTGTGACTGTGGGAGTTCTCGTACAGCTTTCCACCAACCGCTACAGAGACAAGTGAGAAATCATTCTTCAGGTTTTCTCTCACGTTCTTGTCTTTCCTAAACTTTTTGCTTTACAATCACAACCTCAAATGCGTTTGTTGGGATTTTATGTAATAGATAACACAGAATAGTGCATAATTGTGAAGTGGATGGGAAAAAAAAAAAAATCAGAAAATTTACAAAACTCTGAGAGATGAACTTTTTAAAAACTTAAAAAAGTTTAAGTTATACTTTATCTTGAGTGGAAATATATTGAAGCATCACCACTCTTCCTAGAGTCAGATTTCTGACTACTCCATCCATTGTGAATAATGTCTCTTAATGAAAACAAGCTTGTTTAAAACAAATATGCACCATTGAGAGACACACTTTATTCTCTTTTTTAGAATGAAGGCTTATTTGTTAAATATTATGTTCCACCTGCTGAGTCATTTGGAGGTTGAGTGAAAATACAGCCAACTCTAATTTAATTGAACCTATTCTTACATACTATATTGATTGATTTTAAGTTTCACAACTTATAAAACGTATTTTGTACTTATTTTGCTGTGGAATTACTGTATGCTATATGTTCATTTTTATCTTATTTTTTGGAATACCAGAATTTGTATAAACACTTAATATTTTGTTGAATTTTACATCATTTCCTAAAATATTAAGTCAGTTTTTATGATCTGGGTTACTAAGTAAATAAGTTACTTAGTGTTTGAATAGTTTTTTAATTAAATACTTAAAAACTTGAATATTTTTAAAAATTTACTTTTTGCTTTATTAAGTAGTGCTACTCTTACCTAAGCTACCCACCTCTGTCGTTTTATTCTGATACCCTACAATAAAAAAAAAAAATACAAAAAAAAACAATGCAAGCCTGACTGGCTTTTTATGGAAGAGGGCCAACATGAAAACTCGCTGTTAAAAGAGACCAGAAAACAGCAGTAATCGACTTATAACAGTATAAACATGGAAAACTGTGTTCAAAACATTTAAAACATTTTCTGGAAAACTAGCCGAGCGCATGTGGGAACACAGCACGGTGTTGTGGGGATACTTTGTTCAGAAAGTGTTGGTCAGAGGAGGGATGGAGCGAGCTAAATAATTACAAAGTAACCTGATGTTAAGAGCCTGGATGACGGGTTTTATCTAGAGGAGAACTATTCAAATATAGCGTATTGTCATGTTAGAGTGGAGCAGATTGCTGCCCACAGACGTTCTACATCCAGTCTGACTGAGGTAAGCTAATTCAAGAAGATTAGTGGCCATTTCAGTTTAAATCATGCACCACTATGTGATGGTTTATTACATTAAATCCCAAAGGAAAACACTGAAGTGTGTTGCCCAACGGAGCACACGTTTCTTAAATACCTGCAGAGGTTGTGGTCGCAGACATCAGAGAACCAAAAAGAGTTGTGGTTCCCTCTGATGCCCCGCCCTCAGAGCTCGGCTTGACCAGACAGCTGCTGAAAGACGGAGGGGAGGAAAAAGTGGTTCCACCGCCGGGACGCAGCGTTGAGTCTGTGAAGCTGAGGAAGTCTGAGGAGGATGGAGCGGCGGGAGCCTTGCTGGCACTCGTCAGCAGCAGGCCTGAGAGACAGGTGGAACAATTGGGGCATTTACAAACGGAGGAAACAAACGAGGAGGAAGTGAGGACAGAGAGGAGTGGAAGGATAGTGAGCAGTACTGGAGAAAAGAAAAATGGATCTAAGAAAACAGACACTGCAGCTGCAGAGGTTTCCATTTTAATCTTTTGGGAGGAAAGAGATAACTTTAATAATAAATTAGAATCCTTCCTGATTACAAAGTCCTCCCATTTATCAGAGGAAGGAAGCGTCTCTGAAGGACGCAGATGCAGAGAAACTGAACTAAACCACAAAACACACCTTCAGCTGACAGGAGCTCAGAGGTTTAAACAGAAGAAAACCAAAGACCAGTGTGATCGCTACCTCCTCCCATGTCTCGATTTCCCTGCTTGTCTTACGTGTCTGTGTTTGTGTTTTCCAGACAGGGCCCCAGATTACAGGAGCCAGTCGAGACGAAGCGGTGGAAGCGGTGATTACGCAGCCACACACACAAAGCTCTGGTGCCTGAGCGAAATCCACTCAATGACACAGCGCTTCCACAAAACACACACATCAACCTGCTTATTTAGGTCTTACTGATGCTGCTGTGCTGCAGCTGCAGATTTCATGTTTCAATTTTTTTGTTCAACAGCAGATGATTTTTCACTGTGTTTCCATTTTCCTAACTGCAGGGAGAATTCCCAGCTGTGGGGAAAAATTTACATACGGAAGCATTCGCTGCTATTAATTCACCTTGATGGAAAGGCCCCGTGGAAGCGGAGGCAGATGTAGAGGAGGTAGCCATGGTGACCACCGCTGAGGGTAACGGTTTCCCAGACGAAGTGAGAGACTTGCGGCCGCTCCTCTGTCCGACGGCGTGAGGGCCGCCGCTGTTCTTTTTGTTCTTGCCTTCGGACGCCGCCTTGGTCGCATCTGCCACCAGGCCGTCCTTGGACGGCCCCCCCGAGTGAGCCGACGACACTTCCTGGAAGTTGGCGTTGGTGAATCGCCCACTACTGTCGTCTAAACGCTTCTGAGAGGCCGCGGGCAGAGAGGGAACGCCTCCTCCTGTGGTGCCGCTGTTGTAGGTCTGAGCAAGGAAGGAAGATAAGGAGGACCCAAAAAAGAAATAAAAAACAAACTACTTTGTAAATATCCCAAAACAGACAAGTAAAGGAGAGAACAGTGCTTCATTATGTAAGGAAATCTGAAATAAATATATGATTTAAATAAGAAAACAATACTAGTGTATTTTTACTGTAGTTCAAATAGACACTAGATGACAGTACATTCATTATATAATTTCAACAAGGATTTATTGGTAAAAAAATAAATAAATAAATGAATAAAAAGGTAGCATCTGGTTAATGTCTGCTGCTTTGGCCTAATCAAATATTATATGTATTATACAAAACTACTATACGTTTCATACAAAAAAGTGTCCCTAAATATAATAAAAGTCTGAACAGGAGGAACTTATTATTGTAGATCTTCACAACCTGCTTATTATATAGAGTGATACTACAGTAACTATAACTATTTTAAATATATAGTCCTATAAAACATATAGTATTTGTTTCTTTTAAGTTCCTACTTGTGTACTTGTTGCATTTCGTCAAAGTGTTACATCTTTGGAGGTTTATTTCTATTTATATATGCAACATCGCATGGATATACTATATTTATTTATTCATTTTTGTTTTTCTTTACTATGGTTATTAATATATTTTGTCTCAAATATTGTTGTATTTTGATTTGTAAAAAATTGGAAATAAGAAATGCAAAAAAATGTATACCTTCAAACAAAAAAAACATATATAATAGATTTTGTCATTAGCGAAGGGGAGACTTTCTTAACAAAAATAAAGACTGTAGAATGAATATTGGCCAATTAAATATAGATGATTCATAGATGGATGGAGAAAAACATGGATGACAGGATGGAAGAGCAGTGAAAAATGCTCACCTTGTCAGGGACCATGATGTTAGGAAGAACAAGCGATGGAGACATGTCCATGGAGCCTTTCTTGTGTCTAGGTTTATGTCTGTCTCGCTCCTTGTGCTTCTGAACATGTTGAGTAAAGAAACCAAAGGAAAAGAACAACAGATTAGTGAAGCTGCTTAACGTGAGGGAAAAGGATTAATGTTCAACATACGGAGCATTTGAAGAAAATCTTGTTTGTAAACATTTTAAGGAAGGAAAAAAAAAGAAAAGTTTGTCACATCTGAGTAATTAGAATACAGACATAGAAGGCGGGTGTGTGCATGACAGAGGGAGGAAGGCACTGCTGCATTTTAATGACTCAATCTGAGATTAAAGTCCAAACAGCCACAGAAACAAAAGAGAGCGATGGAGGAGAGATAAAAAGGGGTGTTTAACATGCTGCCATATAGAGAAGAGACCATCTAAGTGCCTTGTGCTGAACCGTTCAGATACTCCCTGTTTCGCCCAATCAGATCGTTCCTCTCAGACCATCAAAGCTCAATTTACACCCTCGCCGGCACAGCCAGACACCGTCACCCTCCTCTCGCAGCAGAGGTGGTGACTGGGTGCCACATTTACACCTCACAAGCGCTCCTCACACTACATGATTTCTGCAGACTGTCGTACGCAGGCAAGGTGCACAAACTCTTTAAACGCACACTGGCACGTGTGCAGTCATGCATGGTTCAGAGAGTATGGTGAAAATGTACAAAACATCCCGATAAAACAGCGAGGGACTCGGCGTGTTTGTGATGTTCCGACACATATGTAACAGCAGAAAGCGCCCCTCCCCACGGGGGTTTGTTAAAGGCTCAGTGCGGGAAGGATTGTGACAGTTTAGCCAGACTTCCTCCATGAGTGGCAGTTAACAGACATCCCCAACCAAACCAGGAGATAGCAGCTTCACTCAGTTCACCGACTTCCGATACGGTGCAAGATTTAAGAGTCACAAAAATTGTTTTTAAAGAATATGTCTTTAATATGCCAAACTTAATTCAACATAACTTAGCGGCTTTTAAAAATTTATTAAATTTGAACATTTTTGGTAATTTGAAGAAAAAAAGTTATCAAACACAAATTTCTCTGACATTAAGGCTGATTAGTTTAGTTTATTATTTCATATAATTTGCAAGGCTTGAGAGCTGGATGATACATTTATACATATATATATATAAAAAAAAAATATATATATATATATATATATATATATATATATATATATATATATATATATATATCGATATTCTTTTTGTCTTTAACAATATTGCCTTTGAGCTTTTGCAAAAAAAGGTCTTTTTGTACAATTTTCTTGTTTTAAAGCCAGAGTTGATAAACCTCTGTCTCTTCCAGAACAAACTGCATGCTTGTCAAAAACCCATAGGCTGCTCATACTACTCTGTCTGCAATAGCAAAGCAGTAAACAAAAAGCACAGTGAAGGTTTTTTTTTGTTTTGTTTTTTACACAAAGACAGAAGATGAATCCAAATGTTGTGCTGCACCAATAACCTCTGAGGAGAACAAAGCGGGAAGCTGAAATCTTCAGGATTCCCTTGTTGTTTTTCATTAACATTCCAGAGGTAGGTGTTGATGGACAGAGGCTGAGTGGAGAGAGTCGGGTAACACATCCACTCAGAGGACCAACAGCGCCGGTCGTGGGAAACATAACACACATGCTAACACTGTAGCTCCGCCACAGCCTTATCAATCATGGCGATTGATTAAACAGAGAAGCCTTTTAGCAGTGTACGCTCCATGGTCATCATCGGACATGTCGTTTGACCCTTTGAATCCGAGGAGAATGAATTTAAAAAAGAAACCGCCTCTTTATGCTCCTTTAAAAGCAATCGTTTAATTTAAGAGTTAAACATAAGTGGTGATGCTGGTTTCAGACATGGGCTTCTGACGCAGAAACAGGGCTTCTGGTTAAATCATCATCAGAGCCATAATTATAAACGTTCCTTTCATTGGAGGAGCGCAGATCAGACTGTTCCTGGATGACAGTAAAGCATATGAAAAGACTATATGGAAATAAGAAAAATACACTACTTAGATTTTTTTGATAAATGATATCATAATTCAGCTGATAATACATGAATTAATAATAGTTGTGTTTTTATCTCAACAAAGTGCATAAAAAGTATGAGCAGCTGGTTGCAATAAAGGGATAAACATGTTATAATTTAGTTAGTATTAAAAAATGCAATGAGGGGGTCGGAAAAAAACAAAAATAGTACTTTGGTTCACTAAAGAGAGCTGATCCAGAACGAAGGGAAGCCTTAGACATTTCTATCTTACATAATTTGCACAAAAGTTGACTCTATTGTTAAAAGGGGTAGGCTTTTATTTATCTTTATCATGATACATTTCTAGTCATGATAACAATTTTTATTAATTATCTAAAAGACTTAAATTAGAATGATGAGTGATGATTAAAAAAATTAACTGCAAATGTATTCTTTTCATTGGGGCAATTTGAAGGATTAAATACGGTTACTAAGGTTTGTTTTTTTTAATATAAATCACAAAACTTTATGTAACTGATGTCCTGAAAAAGTCTTTTTAAAATGTGTATATTTTTTCAAAATAACTATTTGTGATTTTAGGGTTGTGATTGCTGTGCCACGCAGCCTCAGCAACCTATGAATTCAAAGAATTAATGAGATGAGTATTTATCGCAATGAGATTTTATGGCCATATCCCCCAGCCTTAATTCCCAATTCAAGTAAAAATCAGAAGTGAAGAATAATTCTCTTTAAACAGAGACTTTAATGTAATATTAAAAATATTAAGTCAGTGTTTTATCAAAGCTTTTATATTAAAAATCCCTTTATCAAGAATTGAAATTTAGCCATCTCCCTTTTTTTTTTTTTTTTTTTTTTTTTACATATTTTTCTGATATAGCGCTAAGTTTTTATACATTTTAAAGAAGAAAAGAGCAGTTTCAAGCCTAACTAAGTGTAGCCTCTGATAGGTTCATTTTTAAACATGGTTCTGGATCCAGTTAACAGCTGGTTAAATTAGCTAGGGTTCAGAAAAGTGAACCAGAGTTGAAGCCAAACTGAAGTTTGGTCAAATCTGTACGGAAAGCTGTTAGGGCCAAAAAAGAACCACGCTTCAGAGATTTAAACTAAATGTTCACTCAGTGGACTTTAAGCTAATGAGGTAGATAGGTTAATTTGGTGCAGTGGACAGCCTTCCACTAATTTAGAAAAGCAAAATAAAATTTTGCTAGAGGCCATGTTGGTCCTTGTTTGCTTTGAATCCAAGTTCAATAAAATCCTAAATCTAGTTGGTTTAGACCAAAGCTGCAGCTTTAATTAAAGAATGCTAAAACAATTAAACCCTAATATATCATTTATTATATCAGAAAACACCGGTCTACTAAGGCTAGAAGGGTAAAGTTTTATCTAGTTCAGATTTGAAATATTTCCCAGTTCGAATCGATGGCCTCAGGAGGACGAGAGGGCACTGGAGGTGGAGGTCAGACAGAGAAGGAAAAGCAAGGGAAGACGAGTAGAAAGGGAGGAACGGGAAGCAAAGGAGAAAATAATCCGCCCTGGCCTGGCAGGAATTCCCCTGTGCCGTTTCCTGCAGGATTTCTGACCAGCCATTGTGTGCGTGCACGTATGGATGTGTGTGTTTCCTACAGGCCTTTCGGAGCAGCCAGTGTGGGGGATCTCTAAGCCCCTGCTGTTGGTTGACTGCAGGCTCTAACACGAGGTGGGCATACATCTGAGCCTCCACCGTGCATTACAAATGCATGTGCAGACAGACAGACAAACACGCACACACAAGGACCCAAATCTAATCCAAATGATCCCTGACCCAAGGAAGGGGATAGAGAGTATGCGTCTATGAGTCTGAGCAATGGAGGAGGGGGATACGCTAATGCTTCCAAACTGCTCAGGGAGAATTACTACACCTAAAAACAAGAGCCGGGAGACGGACAGAATCAACTTTGATTTGCACACATTCATCCTGAAGCTGCTATGGTCAGACAAAATCACCAAGGAGTACAAAACCTATATATTCCATTTTCAGTTGATCTCAAATATTATCCCATGTTTTTCTATCAAAGCAGTGAATAAAATGTGAAAGATTAGCTCGGTTTACTTCCCTCTAGTCTGAACAGGTCCAAATACTGCAAGTATCAGAGCATAAAAATGAATAAGGATTAATGCCTCCTCTTGCTTTCTGTTGGTCTAAGAAGTTTGAAATAACTGAAAAATATTTAGATAGAAAAAAAAAATAGAGACAGATTTTGTCTAGAGTAAAGTAATGCAATGCCACATTTTACCTTAAATCTCCTCCTTTAAAAATTTTAATTCCTTTATACGTTCTGCAGGACCACCTATCCCAGTGCAAAGGCTAAATAATGATTTTGTCAGGTACGAGTTCTGTGCTGATAATGGAGCGGCTGTAGTAAACATGTTGTCCCTGCCGTTTCACTGAACAAAATGTTATCTCAGGCTTGGACCAATTTGGCCTTGGCTGAAGAAACGTTCTCACACTGGATGGAGTCTAAATAAAAGAACCTATTTGAGCTTAAAATGGGGTTTTCCTTGTTCTTTTTTTTATGTGAGTAAATGTTTCTGTTTTTTTTTAAACGTAAACAAAGAGGAAAGCTAAACACCAAAGAAATGAGAGAGGAAGATAGCATTCTAATAGTTTAATGTCTGCATCATAAACACTTTTTCTAGTGGTTACTATCCAGTAAATGAGGAAGGATTGTTCTGATTAAACTCTTAAAAAGGTCTGGTGAAGGAAGTATTAAAAATACATTCAAAACCTTACCTTCTAGTCTTATTCACCTTTATAGTCTTAATATACCCTGGACTATAATTCCAATATGAAGGAAAATCTGAGCCAACTGTCTTATGTCAATGGTACCAACATTGGTAACACATCTGCAGCATCTGGTTTTCTTCTAGAAACTCTGAGGATATCCCTATAAATTTTGGAAGTTTCAAAATTGTCCACCTTCAGTTTTAACCTTCCTTTAGAGGAGGAAACAACTGCTGTTGACCAGTGTATGAGAGGATAAAAGGTAGGGATTTTTTTTATTTAAAAACTGCATATTGCAGAGTTTGTAATTTTGGTAAGTTTTATCTAGCACTCTGTGCTCATATCTTTTCCAGTTGATTAGAGTTTATAAAAGGAGATAACATTCTGTCTATACAAAGGAAACATACAAAAATAATAATATTCATTAATTTCACAAAGATATCAATTATATAGAAAATTCGTGACTTTTTTGTTTCATCAGAAAGTTTCCACTACTCATTGCGAGTCTTAACGTGTAACCCCTATTCAATTCAGTTTACTTATGTTGCACTAGTTAACATCTCCAGGCACTTTACAGTCAATTTAATAAAATCCTATAGATGGGTTAAGTCATTCATCCAAGGGAGACCAAGCAGACTGCAGCAGCTCATTGACTTGCAGAGTTCCCTCTTCCTCAAAGAGTATGCATCTTTTCAAAGAGGATTGGATATTCATTGAGCGAGCAATGAGCGAGTGAAAGTCTATCTGACATTTAGAACATGTTACATGCATGAATTTCTTCCCGTCACTGTGAAACACATTGCAAGACTTGACATTGCCATTATATGACATACATTTTGCATCTGAAGTGCAGCCGAGAATCACTCAACTTTTCTAGGTGTATTATCAGACAACAAACACGTGCAATCTGGAGCTGTTTGCGCTATTCTCACATTGCAAGAAGTTATCAACTCCGCACTGTGTCCAGATTTCAATGTGAAACCTAGTAAACTGGGGTTGCCCGCATGGTGAGTTATTCTCTATAAAGCCAAATGCAGGCCGTACATCAGAGCTAACAACTGCTACAACCAGGCTCCACCACATACTAATTAGAAGTAGCGATGCCTTTCAAAAGAGCAATAAGGTCAGTGCAACCCAAAAATAGTCAAAAGAATTGTGTTCTATTATGAATGCAGGGAGTGGACAGGTGGATTTTTACTGATGTGATGTAAAGAGGAACTCTACAGAGAGGAAAAAAAAGCTTTAGCATGAGAGAAACAGATTGTGTCTTTCAACCTGTCATTGTGCCTTCTTCTGTCTCTCCAAAATGTGAGCACCGTGTAAGTTTCTATAAGAGTCATAGTCGTGGGTGGAGGAATAGGGAGGGTAAGGTCACAGGGCTGTCTTACCTTCTTGTCCTGCTCTGAGGGTATATCCATAGACTGAGAGGAAGAGTCACTTAAGCTTTGAGACCTACTACCACGGCCCCTGCTCCTTCGCTAAAAAGCAAAGAGGACTCCAAGTTACTGGATAGAACTCCACTAAAGAGGCTTCATATTGATCAAAAATAACTGAGATCAAAATTTAAAATAAGGAAAGAAGACAAAAACATTTGACTGAAATTATGGAGGAAAATGTCAAGATCAGTCAAAAAGAAAATCTTTGGAATAAAAAAACGGCACTGAACTGGTTCGTGATGGGTGAAAAAAAAATATTGTGGCAGTAGGCGTTCAAATAAAAACGCATTCAATGTTCAGGAAAAAAAAGAAAATCACCAAATATCAGTATAAAAAAAAAAAAAAAATCTTTTTTATTTATAATTTCAAAAAAGGGGGAAATAACTCAAAAAACATTTTTTTGCAATTAGCGCTTTGAAAAATTCTAGGACTTTTTGCTTCTGAGAAGAATGCAGAGTTCTTGCTGGAGATATTTGAGAAGTGCTGCAAAGATTAAAGACAAACCAACTTTTTGATACAACAAATTAATTACACCAACATCTAGGTTTCTCTGACAGCTAAAAGACTTCAACAATTCTTTGATCCCTTAAAAAACTTATGCAAAGTTATGCAACCTTTGTTGCTTAACTTCGGCTTTGAAGATGCCATAAAAACAACCATTTCCCAGACCTCCGCAACAGACAAGGCTATTAAAGTGGTGCATCCATAGGTGCATCAACCAAACCAAAACGAGTAAAATAATTCATACAAGGTGCCCCTGAAATGTCTGTTTAAAACCAAATTCACTGTAACTGAGAGCAAAGCAGACTAATCATAGTTCAAAATTGGTTTTACAGACCACATCCAGTCAAACACCATATGTTACTAACATGGCGTAAATATCTATCAAGTCACATTCCATGAAACCCATTCTGTTGACAATGCTGTCATTAATTCCCCCACGCACATTCCTGTCATCCAGACCGTCCAAACTTAATGACATTATACCCCAGCATCCAGAGCAATTCATATACGGTCGATGTAATCAATGTGCCAGCATGAGGTAACAGTGGAAAATGCTGTCTGTATGGATGCGTTTGTGCACGGTGTCCTGTATTCTATTCAAGCATGGCCCCACAGATCAGAGTGGTGCAGCCACTTCCCCGTCAGTGACACAGGAATCCCTGTGCCCCCCCTTAAACAACTGATGCTTAGCAGACATGTGCAACCAGGGTGTTAAGAGAGAGACAAACGCAACAGTTGATCTTTTCAGCACATGTGTGAACGGCAGACAAGTGTTGGATTTTGTGGTCCATTTTCTGTTCATAAATGTGTTTAATAACTTATTATTTTTGGATAACATTCAATCTGACAATGAAAAGATGTTCCAACTAGGTTGTGGGACAAAACAAAGATGAGATAATATGGAGACTATGTGAAGGGAGAAAATATTTGTGCACTGTAAAGGTTTACACAAGTTAAAGCAATAATTAACAGGGCAGCTTTTACATTTTAAACTTTTTTACAACCTAAAACCCAAGGCAGGTTTTTTTCCATCATATTTAAATTACATGGAATGGTTCTAAAGCTATTAAATAAGTTTGATGCTATGATGGAATACAAATTGGGGGACGTCACCCCAATCTTCAGACAAGAAATTAAGGAATAAATGGTGCGAAATATTTATTTTAAAAGGACAATGGGAGGAGCAAGAGTATGGGGGGAAAGATGATTTGAAACCATATCAGACAAAAGGGAAAAAAAGGAGCGTGAATTCAATGAAACAAAGTAAAAGCAGTGGAGAGATAGGAAGCAGAAGAATGGCTGGAGAAGAAAACCAAAATTATGTGGCTGTAGACGGAACAGAATGGTGTCAAAGGAGGCAGAAAACAGAAGTAGAACCTAAAAAAGAGCAGGTGACTGTGGGTCTGATGAGAAACAGGAAGCCCACAAATGTTTTATTGAAACAATTATTCTATGTAGAAAACTAACAATCTATAACATCCAATGAAACTGAAATCTAATGAAATTTAAATGTAAGGCTGAAACAATTAATCGGCTTAATCGTGATTAACTGATTATTGAAATAATCATCAATTACTTACTAATCAAATAATCATTAACTGGAGTATAGAGACTGTAAAATACGCCTTTAGCCGACAGAGCGACCCACTTAGAGCAGTAATTATGCCATGATTGTAAAAAAATATATAATCATTTGCATTATGCTCTATCCAGAAGATTTATTTTCACCTGGTTTCATTTCATAAAAAGTCTTCTTTAGGGAACCTTTGGCTATCCGATTATTTATCGATTAATCAGAAAAAGAATCGACAGACAAAATAATCGTTAGTTGCAGCCTAACCATTTTCAAAATGTTGGATAGAAGCTGCACCTTCACCACACACATGCAAGAAAGGCAAAAACAAGCAACATGCAACAAACCAGGTTGCTGCGTATTATTTCACAGTGAGCACCGACATGGTGCCATAAAATACTATTCACTACAGCTAACAGTTCATCTACCTAAACATATAACAGAGATCTGAGTTAAATGTGGTTTATTTACGAGGTTACTCGCAATCAATATCTTACGTTCAGTGGACCATCATCTGACAGACTTCAGTTTGAGTAAAAAGAGAACAATTTTACTGAATTCATAAGGTACGTATGAGATTTAAATGGAACAAAACCTGAATGGTCCAATCAAAGTCCCCCTCTGAAAAACAATAAATAAACGACTACTGATTTACTAATGTGAACATATCGATAGTGGGATGCAATACTTCACTTATTAATCCATCATTGAAATGGCCTTAAACTGATTGAGTAATCAAATAATTGTTACCGGTAACTGGAATTATTAAAAAAATCGTTGTTAGATTAATTAGCTACTAAAATAATATTATTGAAAGATGTGAAATAAATCCTGATGAATTCAGTTGAAAAATACTCTGAGTGTAAACCTTTCCCGGCATCTTTTTTTTTTTTTAAGAGAACCACGACAGGTTGTTTAATTAGCCTCCTTATTGTTTGGCTAACTAGCCTGGCGTCCGCTGCTTAACAGGAATGTTGTCCTAACCTCTTAGCTTGCCGGTTCTGCTTTCAAGAAAGAACCATATTTACACAATTTAGGTAGAGCTCCTTTAGTTTTCATACAATGACCTTTAACATCGTCGACTGTCTGGCTTATAAAAAGTAGAAATATAAAGCAGAAAATAGCATTTTCTATTGAGAAATACGAAATTAATAAGTTGGTTTCTTTTTTTAAAGGATGATTTTATTTTTTAGTCTCCATTAGCTTAAGCTAATAAAAAAAAAAAGTCTGTCAGAAGGTAATCTACTGTAGGGAATAGTGCCGTTCTTCACACTCTACTTGGAAAAAAAGAACCAGAGGGGAAAATAAACTGAACATTAAAGGTGGAATGTATTTTATACGTCATGTAAAGAAGGGGAAAAATTTCCTAATCCAATGTGATGTGAAAATGTGGGTTAGTATATAGAAAATACATGCAATAATTATATGAGGGCACTTACCAGTTTGCTGTGATGGTATTTGCAATATCCACAGTATTTGACATTATCTGCATCTGAGCCTTGTTCTTCACACAATAAACCTGCAAACTGGGCACTATTGGGGCAGAGGATAAAAAACAATAAATAAAATAATAAACAGTGGTGTAACAAATATATCCTGCACTTTCACAACTATATCATGTGGCATATTAGAAAATGTAGGTTTGAAGCACCAACACAAAGAAGAGGTAATGAGTTTTTTAACTGCTGGACTTGAATTCCCATGATATAACCTTAGACCAACATGTCAGAAGAGAAAATGAAAGAGCCCAGGATGCTAGTGTGGAGCAGGAAAAGTGCTGGTGGCTGATTAGTGGGCTGACACCACTGTCATGTGCGTTTTACCATGTGACATGGAAGGCCTGTCTGCAGCCGTGTTTGTTGCAGGTCATGCAGGCTCCGGTGGCTGCCTTACTCTCTCTGCCCTGCTCCTCGCATATGTAGCATGTCTGCACACAGAGTAAACCAGTTTTATTGTAAAATAAATAAAAACAAAAAAAAACACAGAAAAAAAAACATTGATCTACTTTGGATTTTTTCCTGTGGTGTTTTAGCAACTGAAACTTTTTTTCCCTTTACCTTGTTATAGCGTTCATGTGGGACAGACTGTAGAACTATGGGCTCCATAGTAGAGACATTAGCAAACTCCACCTCTGGTATGTAGAGGGCACAAACAACATGGGCCCAGCCTGTAACGATTCACAAAGAATACATAAAAAACTCCTGCCAGCAGAGATTCTGCAAAGGAACAACATTTTTTATTCATTTAATTCATTAACTATTTGGATTTTAAGGTGGGTGGAGCACTGAACAAATTACAGAGAAAAACCACCAACGAAGCAACTGATGCTCTGATCTTTTAACCCATCTTGTTGTGCTGAATTAATAAGTAATCTGACTTTCATATCACTCTAAGTTCAGCAGCTGGTTCACACCGATACAAAGGCAACGCCTAGAAGTGAACCACTAGTGATGCCTTTACAGAAAACATTACATTATAGACTTTACCTCAAAGTCTTACCCAACAAAGTCTAAGTTCAGGAGGTCAAACATACATGTTTATGTCTTTTATTTATTAGTAATGTATATATATTAGGGCTGCAACTAACGATTATTTTAAAAATCGATGAATCTGCCTATTATTTTTTCGATTAATCGATTAATCGGACAAAAAATATTTTTTATATTAACCTCTTTATTCCAAAATAAACATTTTAGACAGAACAAACAAGCACACAAGTACAGGTTGCTCATTAACTGTACTGGTGCAATATGAAAAATAAATGTTTGTGTAAAAACTACGCAAACTTACATGAGAAATGTAGCTGTACATCCACAAAATATAGGGTACTTTGTTTCATAAAGTGCAAAAAAATACTTTTTTTTTTAAAGCCCCTAAGGGGTTCAAACAATAGGCCCCCCCATTTCAACAAATGAGGTTTTTTTAGACTAATAGAGTTCTGCCTTTTAAGACAAGAAAGTATAGCAGTTAAAGTTGCTACTTGAGAAAATACTTAACCATAGAGATAAAAATAGCCCTGTGATTCAAATTATAAATTGTATTTGGAATAAAAATGAGAGAACTAGGGGTAGTAAAAAAACACATCCTCCAAAGACAGATATTTACATGGGAATGTGGCATATAATTAATTGACATATTACTGATTTTGCTGGATTTTATTCTGCTTTACTTCCATAAATTGCAGGATCTTTACTTTATTTTTGCCAGAAGATTTAAACTTTAAAAGCCTTGCCCTCATAATTTGCAATTTAATTTATTTATAAAGAAAATATAAACGCTGCTTAAGCTAATTTAAATGAAATTAAAAGTAAAATAAGTAGCCAACCTTATCACTGTCTGTAACCTACTAACAAGGTAAGGAAAGCATCAGATGAGCTACCTGAGAAACTAACGTTACGTTTCCCCACTTTAAAACGAAACATACATGGTGGTTCCGTGCCATGTTCATTTGTTTTTACAAAAGTTGCATGTTACGACTTTTGTACAAAGCGCAGGCTATTTTAATTATTGTGATCAATTTGCACCGTCAATCCTTGTGAATGCGCGCTTCATTTGCAGTCTGGACGCTGAGGCTCTGACTGCAGTGCTGAGAGGGACTCCTGCGGGAGCGGGGGGAGGCGTCCCACGGCAGAGTAGGAATGATGCATGCTTTCACGTAAGAGTCTCCAAAAGCCGCCAGCGACACCGTAAAAAGTCGCCAGATTTGTCGCTAGTCGCTTTTTTGAAAACTAGTCGCTGGAGGGGTCTGAAAAGTCGCTGAGTTGGCAACACTGCACCTGCAGCGCTGGCTCGCTCTGCCATATTTTTTCTTCTTCCCCCGCTTCAGTCAAGTGGATGTGATGACGGCGGCGGCGGATGACGCATTAATCGCGCGACACAACTAATCGATTATGAAATTCGTTGCCAACGCTTTTAAAAGTCAATTTTTATCGATTTTATCGATTCATTTTATATGTATATATATATATATATATATATATATATATATATATATATATATATATATATATATATATATATATATATATATATATATATATATATATATATTTATTAGGGTTGAAAAAATTACTAGGATTAATCATGGTTAATCGATTACTGAGATAATCGTCAACTAATTTAGTCATCGATTAATCGTTAAATGAAATATAGAGACTCTAAAACATGCATTTAGCTGACAGAGCCACCCACTTAGAGCAGTAATTATACCAAAATTGTAATAAAGATATAAAAACATTCTGTATTTAAGATTTAAAAAAAAGTTTTTGTCTGTTAATCTGCTCTAGCCAGAACTCCTCAGTTGGAAAGGTTTTAGTTTCACCTGGTTAAATTTTGTGAAAAAGTCTTCTTTAAGGAACCTTTTGCTATCCGACTATTAATCGATTTAAAAAAAAATATCAATAGATTAACTGATTTGCAAAAAAATCCTTAGTTGCAGCCCTAATATATATCATTATTACTTTAATCAATTTTAAAGTATTTCATTGGCAGCGGATTGTTTTTGTCTTTAATGGAAGGGTTTGTACATTTTCAAGCACAATTGTATCTATGCAATAATATAAGGACAATATCCACAAGCTGTTTATATTCTACTAATTTTTATATACTTCAGGATTCTCAAACATTTATGTTTGAGAATATGCATCGATATAGAGATAGACCGTCCATTTATTTGTCCTTTTATACTAAAATTAACTGACACAAAAAGCTATTTTATAAATAGACAGAAGCACGTAACAGATGAGCAATCATGACTGAATAGCAAAACTACACCAAAAGTACCAATAAAATGACATTTATATTCTTACTGTTATCTTGTCCACTGTTATAACACTTTCTTTTTTTAGGGCTGGGTGAGAATTTATTTCTTGATATTTTAAAATATTAATGCAACTGATATGTGTATTTGTATCAAATCTAGCTAATCGCAACATTTTCAGAAAAGTCCGTAATAATTAATTTTGTTTTATCTAAGAAGCAGAAAGAACTGTTTTTCTTTTGTTTTCCTTTTACACTTTTGCATTAAAGCTTCAATAAAACAGATTATTGTTTGTATATCCTAAGTTTCGTATGAAAAATGCTAAAAAAAAAAATCATTGCAAAAGACAATATTAGTCATTTTATTTCTTAAAAAGAACTGTAGAAATTTCATGTGCATTCAAAAGATAAATATAAAAGCTTGTTAAGCTTTTTTTCCCCATGTCCTTAAACCCTGAAAAACACACACAGCTGCCCGTCAACAAAGACAAACTGCAGAGCTGTGGAGTGACAGCCGGGCATGGTCAGAGGGGCAACAAAATTGACGACAAGTTGAGGAGGAGTTTGCGGAGGTTACCAGCAGGTCAACCGGAGGTGGGAGTCTCTGCAGCCCAACTGGAGTTGTCTGCCCACCCCCCCATTTTACAGCTGAAACAAATACAGGCTTAAACTTACAGTTGAACCCATGACCTGCCTTTGACATGTTGAGCGGGACAGGGGAGAGAAGGCCAGGGGGCGGGATGATGGGGTGTTAAATCTGGGCATGTTGATGTTTGGATGACCCTCCAAGAATCTAGAGGAGCCCTATAAAACAGGACTATAAAAGTGGCATAATGTTCTTTAGTTTAGGTACTAACAAGCTTTAGTTTGACTTACTGACTAACCTAGAGTTTAGAGTTCCAACCCTTTCCGCCCTCTTTTTATTCACTTGTTTTCTCCAAAAAAATCTACCACAAATGTCCCTATATGTACCCGTCTAGATGGTAACAGTGACACCTCAACATAGAAACTGAACGAGTGTGCTAATTTAGCATGCAAATAAATGCAAGTCGATGTAGCCAAATTCCTTTTCCTCTGTCCCACCTGAAAAAACAACTAAACAAATCAGCAAGTTAGGAGGGGGGCCTGACCAGAGCAGGAAGAAACAAGGGGAAGAGGTTAGTGAGAGGGGATAAAGTGAGGAAGGAGAGAAGAGAAAGAGAGAGGGGTCATGAGAAGGGTAAAATAAAAGAGAAAGTAGTAAAACGGTGTGTGTTAGTGTTGTCCTGATGCCTCCCTGCAGGCCTGGACACAATCCCACAGCTGTGCCTCTCTCTGACTGCCTCACACACACACCTACATGCACAGAGAATATTTACAGTCTCTACCATGATGACCTCTCAATGAACCCCATGAGGAGACTCCTCACAGGCCATGCACTATACACTTGCAGGCCCGCCCCCTCATAAACATACACACACACCCCTATAAAAAAAAAAAGGTACACACACATACACACAACAAACAGCTACATGACTCTCTAAGCCTACTAATGCTCCACCAACATACCAGTGATGTGTAAATAATGACAAAATGGGTGCATGTGTGGGTTTCTGGCATTGGATCTACCTCCGTTATCCGTCCTCTTGAGGGCTCCATCTTTGTGGGGACAGAGCTCACATCTCTGTAGGAAAAGAAAAAAATTAAAGAGGAAAAACTGGTAAGGGACAACAGGTTAATAAAAGAGAAGCTAAATGTTTTTAGAGTCCAGCTGAGCAGGTATCTGCTGTGGGACAGTAACGTTTAAGGGAAACACCCTGATTTTATCTGCCGGTCCCTCTGAGGTCCCTTATCCAGCAGCACAAGTCAGACTTTAGCCTCTTTCGTTCTCAGCTTACTCAAGGAAACAATGCTGGTCTACATTAAACTAAAAATAAGGAACTTTAACAAACTTTTAGTTTACTTCTTAAACCTCTTTAAAAAAAAAAACATGTCAACGCTTTGTGTTAATTGGGCTTTTGAAACAGCTGCAGAGAGGGAAATTAAAACTTCACTGAAATTTCTCATGGTTATTCATTCCCAATGCAGACATGCCACAATACAACATATATACTTATGCCTGCTAATTATTCATTTGCTGACTAATTTACATTTTGGATTTATGATTCTTAATTTCTGTTTTATAGCCGTTAGGTTTCACACAGGGGTGGTTCTTGCAAAAATGGCTCCAAAGATAAAATCTTCCTCCATCCGCTCCGGTAACAACTCAAAATGCAGGAAATCATCAGTCGCACACAGAGGATGTGAAATAGACTCCCTATTGTCAGCAGCAAACGGGGAATGCTAACTCCTGATAGGCAGAATATGCATAAAGCAACAGAAAGCTGGTTTAAGGTGGAAACGACAGATATGTGGTAGATTTTTTCTTTTTCAATCTAGCGTTTTGAGTTAGCTCCAAACAGGAACAAAGTTTTTTATTAAAATTAAAGAGAAATACAAAGCTTAAGTTAGCTAAGACACGTGGTGAACGCTGACTAGCTTATCAGCTCTGACCTCCTATTTAGTTAATGCTGAACAAGATTTAGAGGATGCATCTTTCTACAACAGGGGATTACCAACAACCACTTCGCAGAAGCTTGACGGATACAGTTTTTTTTTTTGCCCCATTTACACTACCCTTGAAAAACCGATCCGTGCCGAGACCGGTCCGAGCTCGGATCAGTTAACCAGGCCGAGCTTGGTTCTGACGACCGTTTACACATCACGCTATCTCGGTTCCTCAACTCCTCGCCTCCTAGTGACGATCTGCGGTATTACTGCCAGTATTGACGGAGGAAATCAAGCAGTTGGTGGAGGTAATGCACCAAAAGTTGTTTGCCGACCGCCATAAAACACAAGAAGAAGAAGACGAAGAAGGGGGGAATGAAGCAAATCAAAATGGCGGCGCCCGTCACATTCAGAAAGTTATGCTTGTTTATTATTGCTGTACTTCGGTGTCTGCGGAGGGTCAGGCGAAGACGGCGACCTTTCCTGGATTTACTTGAGAAAGTCGGCTTTCGGTTGTTGTTTCGGTTGTTCTTCTTCTGTTTTGTGTTGGTTGGCAAGCAACTTCCGGAGGGGCATTACCGCCAACTACTGGAATGGAGTGTGAATCGCAATGTGCAGCCAGACGGAGATGACACGTTCTGCTTATGCGCTCTTGTTATCAGAGAACCGAGCCGAGCCCACCTCTGGAACTGGTCTGCCATTGGCTCGGTTCAGTTCAGTTTGCTTTCAATTTACACACGATAAGCTATCTCAGTTACTGAGCTCGGACCGGTCTCGGCACGGTTTTTCAAGAATAGTGTAAATGGGGTATTTAAGGCTGAAGCAGATAGCGACTATTTGACACCAGTCTAACTGATCCCCGAAACGTGCAGCTGATCTTTTTTTGGTCAGGTTTTTTAAGCAGATACTGCTTTTTCTTCCTCCATTCACTTAAAAAAAATGACACAATATGATAAAGAATATTACACATGTGTCAATTAAATAATAATGAAGAATTTATTAACAAATCGTACAAAACATCAACAATGAGTGTTGAATGGAGGGATCGGCAATACACACACTTTGTGATCTCAAGGCATGACTGTGGAAAAAATTAATGAAGGAAAACACGTTTCAGCACACAAAAAGGATTACAAAAACCAAAAATATTGAACGGTATTTATCCATCTCTACACAGAAACTCACCTGAATATCCAAATAATAAAAATTACATAAATTAATAATCATAGAGAGCTGTGATCTTGAAAGCAATTTAAAATAAGTGAAAACTATTTTTTGACACTCTTATTGTATTGCGTACTTATGTTGAAATACAACAAGCGGACTCCCATGAGATATTTGGATTTAAAAACCAAAATACGTGAGCAACTTGCTGATGGAATAGAGCCACATAGTCACAGTTTCTTCCAATAGGCATGAATAGATCACAGTAGATTAGGAGGAAAACCACAAAGAAAAAAAAAACAAATGGAGTAAAATGAACAACCCCTGCTGAGGTGAATATATAGGGGATAACAAGATCTGCAGTTAAAGTACGTATATCAAGGTACAGTTTTATATTTTTGTCATGATAACTAATAAAGACCTGGAAATTAATAACTCTACTGCAATTTAAAAAAATAATCAGATAACGTCTTACATACTACCGGAGCCTTATACTGTTTATTTCAGTACAACCAGATTGGCCTGTTTCGTAACGGCAAAGGTTAGTTATGCCAACCGCTTCTTTTGCTTTTCAGAATCAGAAACGCTTCATTACCAGGCAGAATTTCTACACCAACAAGGAATTTATTTTGATAAAGAGCTTCACGCACACAAGCAGACATGCAATTAACAAATACATTTGGGTATATAAACCCTTAGATTACTATTGCCTCCAGTTCGTTAAGTTTGCTGCAGCTTGTTCAGGTCTGAGACTTTAACTTGGGAGAAAACCTCATTCAAGTTTTTTTGTTTTTTTTAAACCAACCGTTCTGTTGTACGTTACATTTACCTCGGGGCCAATTCGCGATATAAAAATCTTTAATCACCACATCACCATGCCCCCACCGCAGTGCTTGACAGTTGCCATAAAACTATGCCAGTAAAGTCTTCACAGCATGCTCTAACAAAGGACATTTGCTGCAGAACCTGTTATCAAAGCACAGTGCTGCAGCATAGCTTTCTAAACAGCAGTGAATAATGCTGTTTAAGTGAGCTGTTGGAAACAAAATCACTGGAAAATAACATTTTACCAATCAGCAAAGGAATTTTCAAATAATCAATTCCAAACCTACGTTTTTGAGAACAAAATAGTGTCACCCCACACTGATAAGAGTGGTGGAATAGAGTGAAAAGGCTAACCCCACCCTCTAACAGCAGCCCATAATAAGAGCTGCTAAATAGAGCTTTGGTCTGGATGTAGGAGGATGAAGGCATGTGACGAACATCTTGTTAAAAAAACGTTAGTAAATGTGCTTCAAAACGATTGCAAAACAGGGCATAGTTTAGAGCACCAAGATCATTTAAAAACACGGGATGAAGGAATTGAATCACTCACCACACGGGCCGCTCTTTCTTGGGATTCACACTTTCTGCAGAACCATGGACCAGTCGGCACCTGAACAATTCCATAGCAGGCTAGGTGGGCAAAAAAGAAAGATAATCAGACATCAAAACAAGAATCTTTTTTTTTAAACACACAGGAAAGGCAGTAGTACATCTAAATAAAAAGTTGGCAGTTCAAATTGCTCAAATTTAATCGACTTGCCTTGTTTTATGAGAACGATTTTGAGTTTATTTGCTCTTTAAATAAACATTTCACTTCTAAATCATCTCTGTGCTTTATTTTGAAGCTCCTTAAAGTTGAAAAATAATTTAATAACATTCACATAACAGCTTTCAGTGAAACTGCTTAGTTGCTAAACAGAAACTGAAGGTCAGAAAAAAAAAAAAAAAAAAAACAGATCTCACGCATTTAAGTTAGCATCATCAGCTTCTATGCAGAAACACAAACATCTAGCCCCTACTCAGCTCTTACTTTAACCCGTTCCACATGTTACACTGAAATCTCCCTTTTTTGGCACATAAGCATGAACCCAACAGTGCAGTATTCGCATCTGAATTGTGCTGGCAAACATTCAGATCCACCTGCTCTAAATACTGCAATACCACCTTAAATAGCCTAGCCCTACACATTTCCAGATTATCTCTGATGTGGCCAGAGCCCATAATCCACTGGGACGAAAAGCTATAATCCGAAATCTTGCGAACACCAACAGCTCATCCAATCACTTAAGGGCTTGGCAGATTTATATGTTGCTAGGCAAAACCGAACTAGAATTGGAGGCCTCTCTTTAATCAGGAGTAGCAGAACAGTGAAAATAATAAACCTACCGGATGTTATGAGACAGTTAAAAACAGCACAGAACAATTATTTCAAAAAATAAATTATTTATTTACAGATTAGGGACAAGAGATTAACATACTTTCTCCTGAATAAAACTATTTAGATCATGTTAAATGTTTTTTTTTAAAACATCTTGGTTCCATTTTCAGAACCTCCATGCTTAATGGTAAATAAGTGTATTCTCTGCAGAGGTTTGACTCAATCTTACCAATTATATTCCTGACATTTTAATCATACTCATATGATTTAAAGCAGTTTTTGAATATGATTCCTATTACCCTAAAAAAAAAAAAGAAAAGAAAAGAAAAAAGACAGGGTTATCATGTTGTGGTTTAAAAGGTTTTTTCTTATATTTTGTCTTCTGTGTAACTATAATTTTCCCAGTTTGGCTCCAGAAAACAGTCCCCATTTGAAAAGATTTTTATTAGTCCTAAGCAATTTAGTCGTTTTTTTTTTTTTTCTGATTCGGCCTTTTCTGACTTTATTAAGAAGTACTGCACAGGGAGATGTTTATATTAATAGTGTGGTAACCTTGAGGAAAAAAATACCATACTGGCTTTACAGTATTTACAGGTTAAATTATACAAAAACGCAGATCATCCAACTGAATTATTCAAAAGCAGAAAAGCAAGAATTACTTATAATGCTGCTTGAATTAAGACATCAACAGCAATACAGCCTTCTTTCCACCATCTGACCTGCAGTGCCCACCAAACAAACAGACAGAAGCAGAGCTGCAGTCTCTATGCTTCATACTGCCAAAAAAACAGTTTAATTAATCCAGAAATTTATCTATTAGCTCACTAAAAATACTTCCAGCAGCAGAAATCAAGAGAAACTTTTGGCAGGTTTTAAATTGTTTTATATATTTGTATGCTTGACCCATGCCTATCACTGTGTTTACTGAGACAAGCTTGCTCCATGTATTTTTAGGACTGGCAATAAAATAAAAAGGAAAATAAACAAACAAAAAATGAAAAGCTAAAAGTGAGATAGACCTCTTTAATTTGGTTTAATCAAAAGAAAACTGTTAAAAAGTTTTATTTACTATTAAACTCACTGTTCTGCTCTGATCACCTGATTGGCGATAATGCATCTGCTTTCACCGTCCTTTAAAAACCAACTTCTATTAGGGAAAGTTAGAGTTCCCACTAAAACAAAGCTTAATCAGGACATTATTTTTAGTTATTTTTATATTGCTTCTATTAGTAACATAACTAGGGCATGATTTTGATACAACAAAAAGTGTTCAATGCACCAAAAGATGAGTTTTATTTAAAAAACAAATAAAATAAAAATCAGCAAAGCTGTCTAAGAAAAAAACAATATCATTAGTAAAAACCTTACTTCTGTACCAAAGAAGGTCTGTGTTCTATTAAAAATGTGTGCACTTGTGGTAAAAGAAGAAAGCATTTTAAGACATCACTGTCACCTTTTGGCTGAATAAAAGTCAAATATGTTCAAGAAGTCAAATCAATTGTTTTTGGCTGTTTAGATTTGTTTCTAATGCTTCATTACAACTTTTGACATTTTTTAATATGAATTCAGGTACATTTACCTCAGCATTTTAAGCTTCTAAAAGGCATCATGAAACTCCTGTACGCTCTGCTGTGGGCTTAGCTTCAAAATCTTAATGAGATTTTATTTTACCCTGAAACATTTTTAGTTTCCCACCATACTTTTTCCTCAAATTTCCATTCAAGCAGATGCTTGAACACAGCACTCCGAACAATAATTAGCACCAATGTTCTCACTAGGCTGCGCCTTTCCTCAACTGTGCACTGCTCGTGCAGTCTCTGCACAAGACAGCACATTAAAATTTCTTTTATATCATTTTAAGTCTGTTAATCATTTGTTATGAACTTCCAAAAGCAACAATGATTACATAATATAGAAAAATGAATAACTCTTACATCTATTTATCATACTAAATTAAATACATTAAAAATAAAATGAACAGGGAATATGTTCATCTTATTATGTCATTTTGGGCTCTTATAGCATCTCGTCTCACACCGATGACCCCAGTCTGCTGGAGGCTGGCTTTGCAAACCTGCTTTATTAAATAAATCAGCTGTTCAATCCCAAATATCACTATCAAACCTGTTTTATAATAATTTATACATGTAGGAGTGGTATTTGGATAATACAAAGCGAGTGTCATTAAATAATAATTAAAAAAAAGTTCGGCAAATGTCCTGTTCACTGCGCAGCACAATGCTCCTTGTTACTGATTTTATTGAATTCAAGCACACGATGAAGCAAAATCTCAAACAATAAGCACATTCTAAGATATGGTGGCTTCAACACTTAGATGCGACGAGCTAAAGTAGATCTCACTTTGTGGATACCTGTCCTGCATTTCAAATAAGGCTGCAACTAAGGGTTATTTTGCAACCTGATTAATCTTTTGATCATTTTTTTTTTCAATTGATCGATTAATAATTGGATAGCAAAAGATTTTTTTTATTTAATTAAACCAGGTGAAACTAAATCTTTTCCACTCTAGGGGTTCTGCATAGAGCATGCTGACAGACAAAATCATTTAAAAATCATTTATTTATATATATATATATATATATATATATATATATATATATATATATATATATATATATATATATTTATTTATTTTATTTTTTCTTACAATATTTATATGATTATATCTCTATGTGGGTCACACTGACAGCTAAAGGCATATTTTACAGTCTCTCTACTCTGGTCAAAGATTCATCTATTACTAAATTAGTTGACAATTATTTCAATAATAGATTAATCTGATTAATTGTTGCAGCCCTAATTTCAAGCATCCAGTACTGATTGTGAAAGAAGATCTAGTTTAACAAATCATATTAAAACAGCATCCAGAATGCTCTGAAAGCAGCATCTCCTTAAATAAACAATGTAACTTGCTATGAAAAGGGGGTTATAACAAGTGTATTATTGGTAGGGGCTCAGTATGCAGATCTGATGTTGCTCAGTGGTCCTTAGAGGGAACATTGCTTAGTGCTAGCAATAAAAAACTTGTTTTTATATTAGTCTTCTTTATTAGACATATTTAGTTTGAGGCATAATGACTAAATTGCATTAATTAACCCCTCAAACACTTTTGATTTCAGCTACTGAAACAATGCTGCTTCAGAAAAGCTGATCAGCTGTTCTGGCAGCTCCTATCTGTGTTTACCTAGTGGGCACATGGTTTGGCTGCTACATGTGTAAACATTAGACACCCTCATGTGCAGGGGCAACCTGCATGCAAAGCGTTTTGGGTGTTTGAGCTACACAGGAATAAACAACATATACATTAGCTTTTAGCTTTCTAGGTTTAATCCATCTTTAGCTTATCATCCTTTCCTTATTTCCATCCGGTCTCTTTGGTTAACACATGGTAAGAAGGGGCTTTTATTCCTCCCTCGCTCCATCTTTCATAACAGCTTCTGACAAGGAAACAATGGCAACGGCTCGGAGCCAGAAACGTCTTCATGCTGTCAGCTCTCATCAACGTGCAAAGCTAAGCTAGCTGGGAAGCTGCAGCAGCATGTATGGAGTCTGACCTCGGCGTTTAGCAGGTAGAAGAAGAGGAGGAGGAGGTAACCTTTCGATATGAACGCTAACTAGCACGGGGGGCTAATGCTAAGCTTGGCTAGCAGCTCACCTTGATGCACGGCGACGTTGCATCCGTGGCCGTCGCAGTATACCAGCGGGTTCTCCGCCCAGCCCCGTTCGTCAGAGCACACACAGCACCCGCCGATCATCTCCTTCATGTTACACGTCAACAGCCTGTCGTCCGCCTTCAGACAACGCTCGCCGCAGACCATCTACGAGGAAAGCGGACATGCGGAGGAACACACAAGGAACGACCGAAGAAGAAGGGGGGAAAAAAGGAAAATTAACACTGCCTTCGGAGAAGTCCTCGGTTTGGCACGCAGCGCCGCTCTAAGTCCCACTCCACCGAAATGTCATGATTTAGACGTGTTTACATCCTTTTTTCGATGCACTATTTTGTTTTCACCAAAACATCGCCGTCAGGGCTTGATGGTGGATGTGAGGGGGGAGGGACTTCTGAGGGAACAGGAAATGCGTCATGAAGCACGACGAGTGATTGACGTGACTCGAGTAACGGCTCCTGCTTTGGTCTCACGAGATTTAGGTAGAAAGGAGACTCCATAGAGTTCAACTGAATACAAAAAATGTCAAATTTTCTGTTTTTTTCACTCAACAAAAGTTACCATAACGCAAGGAACTGTGTTGTTACAGAATGAGTCTGTCTCTTGTATTTTTATTTAATTCTTTTTTAGGTTTTGTATGTTTCCATTGGTTGTAATATTACTGCCTGTTTATTTATTTATTTGTTTATTTATTTCTGTTGCCTTGCACAAGTTAAGTTGATTTCCTGTATATAACTGTCATTTTCTCTTTTTTTTTTTGTAAGAAAGAAAAGTGGAGATTCCTACTTGAAAATGTCAATTAATGTTTTTGTTAAATAAAAAAAAACTGCAGAGGAACAAGAAGCTGTAAACACGTTAGATTCCGAGGGAAATATGATAAGGAAAAAAGAAAAAAGGGAAGAAAAATATTTGACTTTACAACTAAACAAATTACTCACACTGGACATTGTTTTCCTGATGTTGTTATTCAGACTTTTTAACTTTTACTTTTAAAACTCTTTTAATGTAAAAAGCACTCAGTGAATACCCCAACCCCAATCACAAACTCATATTCTTTTTTTTTCTCATTTACGTCGTAACAAAAACATTTAAGTGAAACATGTTATACTTCATGAGTGAGCCAATATAATATTAAATACTTAGTATAATACTAAAAATTTATAAAAATTCCAAAATCCTTAAGCACATTAAAAAACATATTTATCAACATGTAAAACTCCCACAATTTCCCCATTGTGGGACAATAAAGGGAATTTATATTCTATTCTTTTTCAGTCTCAAAATGGAACGTGCTTTCTTAACAGAATCAAAGATTCTTCTAGATTCTTCTAAATAAGTGTACAAATAAATACAAAATAAATACCAAAAAAATATGACAATATTCCTGGGGTGGTGTTTTATGTGCAAATAATCTATAAATCTAAAATTAACAACAGCAAATATGCAAACAACTGTCTTTTGTATCAATATCATTTCAAATTAGTATTGTGTCCAGATACCGGTTTTAAGTATAGATACTTTTTCAGAGTGTCAATACTTTTGCCACCCAAAATCATTATCAGTTCTTGCTTATTCTTTGAGCTGAAACATAAAGCACATCACCTCCCTGTATCTTTTATGTGGTAAACAGTTGTTACTCTGGGAGTTTATGTCAGCATGCCACATTTTCTAATTAACATCAAGGATATTAAAATCAAATGTAATCAAAATACCTTAAAGACATTAAAATACTTGTTGCTGCTTGTACTTTCATAAGCTTTGAGAGTCACTTGAGTAATTATTAATGTTAGTTTTAGCCTTAGAGTACTAGTTTATCAATCTTACGGTTTTATATTTCTAGCTCACTAGCATGTGTAACAACTTTGACTGGCAATACTTGTTATATTCAGCACAGGTTGCTTCAAGTCAAACACTTCCAATATTGATATCCTTGTAATAAAATTCTGATTGCAAATATCTAACGTCTAACAAACTATTATTTCCTTATTGATTTACAAGTAAGCAGCTAAAGAAAAGAAAGAAAAAAAAAACACGGAGATCCAGCCGCTGAGCCAATTGTAACACTAATAAAAATTAAATCTAAGTCACAAGTGTATTTTTCTTTTCTTGAATTGAGCAGATAAGTGAGACACTTTGCCAACGGAGCAAGACAATTAAGAATATTATAAGAAAAAGAAACCGCAGCAAAATATCCAATCATCTTATTTTAAGGCTGATCATACTCATTCCATTGCAGATCATCTTACTTACCTGCTCAAATACAGGTAAATAGTTATTTTAAGAATTTTTTACTCATTTTGAGATTGTTTTTGCAGTGTACCTAAAACTCTGAAAGACGCCATACTGTTATAGCCTGGTGAGATGATTTTTAATTTATAAGCATGTGTGTGAGTGGATATATTTATATATATATATATATATATATATATATATATATATATATATATATATATATATATATATATATATATATATATATATATATATATATATATTAGGGCTGAATATCAGCATATATATTGCGTAGCTGAATATCAGCATGTCAGTGGTCTGCTTTGTTTTGACAGTTCTCCATGCTGTTGCCAAGGATGCTCACACACACTCACACACGCTATTCCAAGCACTCAGCTGCTGCTTGCATCACTGACTCCTCTGAGCGTGCTCTTGCGCTCGGTTTCCAGAGAAACGTAATGACTTGCCAGTAATGTGCAGGAGCACACGAGCGTCCTCCGTGTAATATGGTGAGCGAGAGGTCCCTGGGAGTGCCTGCCCATTGTTTGCTTTAATTTCAAATTGCTCAAATGCTCCAGTCGACACTGGACCCTGCACTAAAAGGGGGTGGGGGGGCTCAGGGGGTGAAAAAAGAAGAAGAAGAAAAAAAAAGTGAATGGTGTTTGGCAGAGGAAAACCTATTAGAGCTGGAGAGAACAAAGGGAGGCAAAAGGAGGGGGCAGTGATGGTGGAAGGGCCCATATAGCTGCTGAGAATACTGGAAATGGTAAACAATTTTTACAACTTGGTTTTGATTAAGTCAGAGTCTGCACAAATTACCCATAATGCTGCTCAGGATGTCAAAGGAAAGCCTTTTCTGCAGACAGAAATGCACATTGACACCATCTTATTCCTAACTATGAAAGTCCTTTATGGGTAGTTAGCTTTTTTTTATTTAAGCCATTCTACACTTAAACATAAAAATATGTTACTTTTTAAAAAATCTTTATTTTATGTATTTAGGTAACAAGAGAAAGAACAATGCATATCACAATCTTTAGCAGAGAGAAAATACAGTAACCAGATTTTTATAGGTATATGTCACAGGTGGTGAACTGGAGACTTTATTTTTGAAAAGTACGCAATATTATGAACCAGACTTGCAAAATAAAAATAATATATGCTTAAAAATTCTGAAGCTACAGTACACTTCATTCATTTTGTCCTCTATACTGTAGAAAAGTTGTTTCACAAACTTTGTATTGTGGCTGTAGCTGCATCCTTACAAGAAGGGTAACACAATTTTACAGGGGGAAAATTGGAAACGTGGAGTATGCAAATGGACGTGATTGTAGAGGAAGAAGCAACAATCAGACCTGCGTTTGCATGGTACAAATATAATGCATTTCTCATCTCAGATTTTAATTCTATAATTTATAGTAATGACAAATAGGGGAAAAAAGGAAGGATTGCATTTTAAAGTGGTTTTATGCATCTCTGCGCCTGTGTTGGGTGTGTGTGGCGGTGGTGGGTGGTTGGGGGGATTGTAGAATAAATCCTGGGGAGTCTGAGGGGATTGTTTTCACAGATTGACCTAATATATGTTAACAAATTAGGACTTCTGCTTGTAAACAACAATGTTTTTGTTTCAAGCTATGCTTCCTTTCGGATTAAGCAGTTAGTAATACTTATCTTTTCATGCATGCCAAAAAAAAAAAGGAAGGAATTAAAAACATTATAGAAGAGACCTTGCAGATGAGAATCTGCACAGGCTTAAAGAAATATTTAACTATATTAAATAAAATATAAAAAAGTACATACCTGCTATCATTTAAATAAAATGTATTCCTGCAAATCCAGTGTTGCTAAAATTTCCATGTTTGGCAGAAACATGTGTGATAAATACCTGTGACTTTTGTTTAAAATTAAAGATTAAAATCACCAATATGTTGCATGCAAAAAGGGTGCATCCTTAAAAAAATGGTTGGGCATTCCTGCCCTGATATCTTGATAACTATGCAGACTTCTTTCTATCAGTTGTTTTGCAGCAGAAATGAATACAGAAAGGTGAAACCAACCCACTCTTGCCATGCTTTGTTTTCCCCCCTTACAGCGCATTTATCAGTATTTAGCTTACTCAGGGAGCATAGGGACAGAGGGGGAAATACAAACAGTCCCAACACGGCGGGGTGAAAGGTGAAGAGAGCCCTCCCCCCACCACTGTCCACGCATACTTCAGGCTCGGATTGCAAGTAAAAATCACATTCTCTTGTGGCAGTGGGGGGTGGAGAAGAATTCATTGTTTTGGCATGGGGCAGTGGGTTTGTGTCATAAAACGTCTATGCTCTTACAAGTGCCAGCTCCTCCTTGACCAAAGTGTCTCCATAAAACTCAATGCGAAACAAATGAGAGCCGCAGCAGCAGAGCAGGAAGCCCTATGGCTGAGGAAGCAGAGCGGGAGCAGAAATAGGTGTGTGTTAAGCTTTGAAATAGTCGAATGCATGAAAAAAAGAAATGATCAAAGCGTTTCAAACAAATACTGAAATAAAAAAATAAAATCTAAACTTTATTTTATGCAAAATTAACCCTTTAGTGAATTAAACGATAAAAATAATGCGTATCTGTTGCTAGTCAGAATTATACACACACACACACACACACACACACACATATATATATATATATATATATATATATATATATATATATATACACACATAAAAAATATACATCTAAGTTAGTAATTTTCTCAGAAAACTGAATTTTTTCTTGAATTGAGCAGGTGAGAGACTTTGCCAATTGTATAAGACAATTTACTTTTAAAATAAGAAAAACACCTGTAGTCTGTTATTTCAAGTGGATAATATCTAATTATCTAATTTTAAGGGTAAAAATGCTCATTTCATAAGCAGATCGTCTTATTTTCCTACTCAAATTAAGAGTAGTTAGACATATTTTAAGAATTTTTTAACTTATTTTCAGAACGTTTTTGCATTATATATATATATATATATATATATATATATATATATATATATATATATATATATATATATATATATATATATATATATATATATATATATATGTATAATATAGATAGATAGATCTGTTTTGCACTTATCCCATGTTTACATTTAGAGCTTTCTATCAAACAAATCTATTAAATTACATCCTGTTGCTTCCCTTTAAAGCCTAATCTGTTCCTGCAGACATGCTCAGTGCATACTAAACTGTACCCCTAAAACGTTTTTTTTTTTTTTTTTTTTTTTTTTTTTTTTGCAGCATCACCAGCCCCTGCGCGGAAGCTTGTTAAAAAAAACTCCACCGTGGTTAAGGTCTACTGCTTTGGCCACTCGTGGTCTATTTTTTTTTTTTTGTAGCCACGTGTGGCAACTGTGTGGCAAAAATAGGATTTAAATCTCATTTTAACATGAATAAAAAGTTGTATTTATTATTTTTTTAAGATAACAGGATCGTTGCAAGGTTATAACATTGAGTTCAAATCCGATTTACGCCTTTGCGCAAGCAGATTAGTCATTTAAGTAAAAAATAAAGAGTAAAAGAACAATGAAAATAGCAGTTAATGTAGGTAAGCGACATTTCTATTCAAAATAAGAAACTCGAAAAGATGGAAACGATATCAAATTTATTTCATATGATACCAGTCAACAGAAACAAGTGTGATACGTTGAAATTAGTTAAATCTCGAACCACATGTATTAAACCCTTCAAGAGAGAAACAAGATTAGAGGCAGTGAAACAAAGAGAGTTTATTGTCTCGACCAGAAGAAATCCAGTTTATCCAAAGAGCAGGACTCTAAAGATGAAACAAGCGCTGATTGTCTTTTTTTCCCCAAACCTCCCCCATGCAGGACGGACACGGTGCGCACAGCGGCCGTGCGTGGGGATCTATGATCTGCTCCCACAGGGGCGATCCGGACTTCACCCACCCAGGAACTCTTCAAACATCACTGCTGTCAATAAGCCCCATGAAAGTCTTTTAATTATGATATTTTTGCCCCTTTCACCGTAAGCAGGGCCAGAAGATGTCCATGTGCAGCTTATATGAGGAAGCGCTGAGAATGTGGGTCATTTGACCTCGAGCAGGGCTGCAGTGGGAGTTAACTAAGCTAAAGAGAACAGGCTTCATGTAATCGCAGATAATTTTCAAAGGCGCACACACACACACATAAAACACCCGCATTACCTTCCTTTTCTGTCATTCAAAGGTTTTAGGGTAAAAGTGGAACAACTTTTACCTTAAAACCTGTGCTTTACGCATGCTTTCCCTTGGCGCTGCAGTCTGAGAAGATGTGCTGTGATTCACCAACCTGTGCAGATGTTGCTTCTATTTGCAGGTCGGTATTATTCAATGCATGCTGGCAAAGCCTGTAAATAAACATAAGCAGGCTTATTAATGCTGTGCGGATGAGCATGCCCGGTCTTGAGACTGACCCCGTGAGGGAACGGGGGCCACAGGGGGGGGACCGACGTATTTTATACACAATGGGAGAAAATGTGGTGCTAGGACAATAGACGATCGAATGAGCATAATGTGGGGCTATTGTTTCTTTTTTCCCCTCCAGAATAATTAACCGATAAGACCAATAGGTTATTTGGAGAGCCCACAGGGTGGTGACTTCAGCTGCAATCTCCACTTTTCTTTTTGAGAATCCTGTCGGGTGTGTGTGGATGGATGAGGTGTGCGTGCGTTCGTTTCAGGTTACGAGTCCGGACGTGTGTATGTGCATGACTCCGTGCATTTTATACCACAAGGTTTATATGCTCAGAGGCTAAATGTGTGCAGAACGGTCTCCTCGAAGGTGCATGCTGTGATTCCGCGGTGCTTTTTTTCTTCTCTCTGAAAGAGACAGCTTTCCAGAACTAGTTTATTATCATTACATCCGCAAATATAAGAAAAAATGCACTATTATCTGTTTTGGAATCGTGCCAAATTATTTATACAATTGTTACGTCAGGCTTTAGGATCATATATAGGCTTATTAAAAAATTATATGCGGGAAATGCGATTCTGACTTTGCACTTTGTTCTGCACCCGTACGCAAAAGGGGAATAACAAAACAGAACTCAAAATACCTTCACCTTGTTATAAAAGGCGGTTATTTATAAAAGCACAACAATCCTTGCGTAATTACGCAAACATTACGCAAATCCTGAAGCAATATCGATATTTTTCAAACTAAATATTCGGATCATTTTAAAATCAAGCTGTAATCCTAAAAGTGGGCATGTCTGCATATATGGGAACAAAAAAGAAAAGATCTAAAGACTGGAACAAGAAAAACTGGCTGACCGTCAAAGTAAAACAAAGCTGCTTGCAAAGCAATTAAACCCGGAATATGTTATTTAAGCTGCGCCTTTTTTTCCTGCGTCGACACACATACCAAACAAAGGCAGAATCATTTTATGCAATCAGTAATACCTATTTCAAATTACAGTTAAACCTAATGGGAATAACACCATATGTTCCAGTTTTTACTGACTAAAACAGTGACTGCGGTTCATTTCTATATAATAAAGAATATTGCGCGCGCGTGTGTGTGTGTGTGTGTGTGTGTGTTGGGGGGGGGGGGGGGGTTATAGCTACTGAAATATCCACTTCTTCAATAACAGCATTATTTGCTCAAACGGCAGACTGTGGGCACAATTGTAAACTACAGTAATAGCGGGGTGTGGGAGGGGGGGTGGGGACGGAATATCCATTTTTATTGCATCACCTGTCAGCGCCGTCCAATGGGCTTCCACACCGCCGGCATTAATTGATGAAGGTGTCTCTAGACTGGCCCACCTCCCACTCCAAGTCGGTTTTTTTCTTCTTTTTTTGTGGCTTAGCCAGCAGTCAGAAATGCAGCTGCTGTTTTAGCTCTGATTCTGCTTCTCCTCTGTCTCGGATTCACTCTTTCCTCCCTCTCTCCTCCCCACCCTCGCAACACCTCCCTCTCTCCCTCTCCTCCTCTCGCTATTTTATCCCTCTGGCTGAGGCAGTGGTGCACACCTACCCCTCGTCCTGCTGCCGACCAGAGGGGGAGTGGAGCCGGGCGGACGCAGGTAACAGCGGCGGCCCCCGGCTTGGTGGATGCATCCCTGCGCATTCCTTCACCATGCCGGACAGGGCTGGATGCTGTCTGCTTGCCATCAGACAGGATCAGCCCCGTTTAAAACTCCGCATGTCAAAGTTTGCATGTTCATGACGCAGCAGCAGCAGAGTGGATGGATTAAAGGTATGCAGAATGCCTTGAGCCCACGACCCTGTGACATGTGCCGGTGAATCTACAGAGTCCAAGCAGACACTACATGGATTAATGCACCAAACATGGGAGACCTGGAGTGTGGGTTTGAGGAAATGCAAGGAGTGAGACTGGGATACCTGCTCATCAAAGGAAGGCAAATGTTTGCATTGTCTCAGGTCTTCACCGACCTGCTGAAGAACATCCCTCGGACCACGGTGCACAAGCGCATGGACCACCTAAAGGTGAAGAAGCACCAGTGCGACCTGGAGGAACTCCGCAAGCTCAAGGCAATAAACTCCATCGCTTTCCACGCCGCTAAGTGCACCCTCATTTCTCGGGAGGACGTGGAGGCTCTGTACGTCTCCTGCAAGACGGAGCGAGTGTTGAAGTCCGCAAAGAAGAGGACAGCCAAAGCGGCGTGCCCCCTCGCGGGCGACGACGAGGAAGAGAGCGAGCCCCCGGGTGTCCTGCGCGCGGACGCGGAGCCTATGTGGAAGGAAAAAGTTTGGTTCAGTTTGCACGGCGTCCCACAGCTGCAAAGCAGGACTGGAAGGAAAAGAGAGCTGAGTCCTTCTTCTTGCCTTACCGACGCCAAACTACCTCAATTTTACCACAAAGCCCACGGACGGGATTACCGTTGGACAGCTAAATCCAGCCACAAACACTTTAAAAACTATGAAACTGATAAATTTACAGGGAACCGATTCGCTGTGAGCCAAAGTGACGCTTTTTTCCGACAGCCGGCGTTGTTTCAGCCGGCAGCAGTTCAGCAGCGCTCAGCCGGCGACTCACTCCACAAAAGGAAGAGGAGGCGCGAGAGCGGCGGCAGGAGCAAACACGCGCACCTGCACGCGCCGCCGGTGCTGCTGGTCCAGCCCAAATCCTCTGGAGCCACTTTCGGCGCTTTCCACCTCAACCCTGATTTCTATCTCTACCCGCGACCTCACCATCATCACCACCACCACCATCATCATCATCACCACCACCACAACAGCAGCAACAATGAGTCCGGCTTCCCGGAGAGCTACAGCAGCGATACCGAGTCCTGCAGCACATATTCGGACGCACAGTGTCGGGACTCGGACTTCGGGTCCGGGTTTTCCAGCAGCAGCTGCAGCAGCTCCGAGGAGGAGGTGGATGAGGATGATACGCAATCGGAGAGTTCAGAGGTCAGTTCGGATGAAGATGAGGAGACTTCATCTCAGTCCGACTCCAGCTCTGTCTCAAGTCGCGTTTCGGTCCAAAGTATCCGATTCAGACGCGCACGAGTGGGTCTCCACGCGGGGAAAGCACCTTTGGTCCTACAGCCCACTTTTCACTACAACCAGCAGCACAGGACGCTGAGTCACACCGACAAGAATCCAAACTGTGATTATGGTGAAACAAGGAAAGACTCTTTACAGTTAAACCCAGATGCTGGGGGAAATATTTTCACCAAACCTGCAAAAGAAAAAGTTTGTGATGATGATCCAAACAGGACTGAGAAGGAATTGGTCCCTTATTCATCTGGACAGGAGCTGAGCAAGGCCTCTCATCCAGTTTCCTTCAGGTCCAGGGGATTCAGCCCACAGGATGACAATTACAAGCCCCAAAAATGCGCCGACAGACGGGAGAAGCTGAAAGTTTGCACCCCGCCGAAAAAAATAAAGACTGAGTCAGAGGAGCCCCCCGCAACCGCGTCCCCCCTCTCCGACAGCAGCAGGTCCGCCTTCAGTCTGAGCAATGTGAAAGTTAAAGTGGAGGAAAGCTGCGATGAATATGAATACCTACAGAGCCAGAGCAAATGGAAAGGAGATAAGGCAGATCTCAGCGGAGCCATCAAACATGGAGTCTTTTCTAACAGCGGGATTAAAGCGGCGGAGAAAAGCCCCGGCGTGGCCCCTGGGTCCCCCTGCGATTCTCTGCAATGCAAAAGCAGCCAGGACGCGCCGTGCGCGGAGGAGGGGGAGCAGAGAAAGAAAACCTGCAGGGCTTCGGGGCGGGAGGCTAAAAAACCCCGAATTTCCAGGACGCATACAAAACAAAACGTGCCTAGAGTCAACACGGCTCCCTCTTCCTCCTCCTCATCTTCTTCGTCTTCAACCACAGAGGATTTACGGAGCAGACGCAAACGCAGCACCGCCAGCAGCACAGCAGCAGCAGCAGGGGCTTCTCTTGCAAAAAAACCTTTCACCCTGATGGCAAATTTCCCATCCCCACCGTCGCTGATCGTGGACAGCAGCGGGGATTTGTGCCCTGCTTACTCCCTGAGCTCACTTAGGGGCCCGGGGCCTCCTCCTCCGTCCCACCCCGTGTGGAAGTGGCAGCCAGGCGGTCAGATTCTCCCTCCCCCACAGCACACTCAGAGAACCAGGAAATACTGAGCTGAGGCAAAATAAAAAAAACCTTATTCATCTCCAACATACCCTTTGTCTTAAAGTGATTGCTTACCCTCTCTGCCTTCACTTATATTATTTTTCTAACTTTTTTTTTTTTTGTCATGTGGGATTTACATTCCGTTTCTATTCTCCCCCTGAGGAAAAGCCACAAGATCCCACTTGGAGCCTCCACAGGACTGTGAAACACATCTCGTGTATTATTGTCTAAAAACCCCGGTTCAAAATAAGCTATTGATTCTAAGCAATATGTTTTTCTCCCAGTCTTTGGTCCATTAGGTTTCCTGGTTTGCTCGACCTGTTGGATTGTTGCAGCAGAGTTTCAATGGGTTTGTTCTTTGTCTAAAACAAGAGCAGTGTTTTTTTGTTTGTTTTTTTTAAGAAAAGAAAATCCAACATTCCTTTAGATGAGGCAACTTTTAATCTGGCAGGGACTCTTTGACTTTGTAAATAATAATAATAGAAAAATACAAAATATTAGGGTTTCCAATTATGTGCCACGTGGTATACTTTCTAACAAATCAGCGCTGTTTTTTTTTATGATGGCCACAATAACCCACATGTACTGTGAGAAAACTTGATCCTATTTTTTTATTTTTATTTTTTTCAAAGCAAATGCATTCATGTGGAGTGTAAGTAAGTTTTCCAAAGTGTGACAGCATGAAACAAAACGCACTGCAGCTCATTTATAGACTCCCACCCCACCTACCAAAATAAAAACGGTCTCGTGATACAACGAGATTTAAGTCACCGGCGAGTCCATCTGGCAGACACGACACCTTTGGGTCAGGCTGGGTGCTTCTAGTGTATTTCATTTAGATAATGAAATGAGGGGGGGACGCATGGATCTCTAAAGTAGGTTAACAGTGGGAGACCTTGAAGCACATGGGAAAGGCTTGAAAGTGCTGCACTTTTATACCGTTATACGTCACACTGCAAAAAAATAAAATAAAAATAAGTAAAAAAAACATCTTAAATTAAGTGTATTTACTCTTAATTTGAATAGGAAAAATAAGATGAATTGCTAATGATATGAGCATTTTTACTCTCAAAATAAGATAATTGACATTATTGCTTTTTTCTTTTTTTAATGTAAATTGCTTTGCTCCATTGGCAAAGGGTCTCACTTACCTCCTCAATTTAAGACAAACTCCACCTATTTTAAGAAAAAATTATTCATTGTGATTCATTTTTTTTTTTTTTGCAGTGCATGTTTCAGCTTTTAAAAGTGAACGAGGGGAAGAAAAAACAACTCTAAATCATTCTTGTTTATATACACAAAAAACAACAACAAAAAAGATTTTTTGTGTGTGTATGTGAAGAAAAACATTTGTAAAAAAAAAAAAAAGATTTAGTTAGTGTTTTTTCTTTTGCTCATTTTCCAAAATTTCATCTTTTTTAAGCATCACCTTATTTTAGTAGTGATAATTTCCCATTTTCCCTCCACCAAACACACACACAGACTCAAACACACACAAAAACCGCAACAACACACGTGTGAAGCCTTGCTTTCTTTATTTGTGACATGCATCCTGAATGTAGCCTTTCTGAACATGGCCGCTCTGACATGCTCCATGCAGCCCGCAGAGCTTTGCTGACCCTGTTCAGTGTGTGTACATACCTTTAAATGAACAGGGGCTGAAGTTTGCACCGAAGTGTAGGCATTTATTTTTTTTATTTTATTTTTTGCGTCCACGGTGTTCGTGGCAGTTGCAGTACGCGCTCTGCTAATTGGCATGCTTTTCTGTCCCTCCACAAAAGAGAGGCCCCAGCAGCTTATATGGCGAGGTAGATCACAACAAACCCCCCCAAAAGAGCCCGTGAATGATGTCAGCCTTTCTCACAAGCTCAACAGAAATGAGAGATTGGGGGGCATTTATTTGGAATGATTGTAAAAATGAAGTAAAAACAAAGAAACAATGTGTTTGAAATAACCCTGGATACATTTGTATGATGTCAGTCGCGACCTACCCAAATGCGCACACAGAACTCCACCATGGGCTCTCAGTTTGGGGCTGCAGCTATTGCAACTAAAACTTGAACTTTTGATGTTCTCTGTCTGTCTCTGTGACTCAGCACCATGGTGGGGTTTTCTATAGGGGCATGGCTGAGGCTGCAGGGAGGTGTTGCTGTGTTGCATTCATTGTGAAAGTCAGAAAGCACATAAGCTACAGGACGCTGTGAGAAGAGGAATACAACCGGCAGCTTTTCCCCCACGCGGCTCCCACGCACAATGCACGACTGACAGGACAGAGTTGGTGGTTTTCCACGGGGATTTATCTGACAGTGACCCTATCCACGTAAACAAGTGCATCAGCGTGTGTATGAGCAGCCATGCCCTCCTTCACCCATTCAGCTGGGTGGACTTTTAAAATACTTGAGGTCAGGGTTTGTTTTTGTTTTTTTTATATATATATATATGGGGACATTTGTTTGAAGTCACTGGCTGTTTATATATGAAACTGAATATTTATTTTTGTGAATTTTTATGGGGGGGTTGCTTGTATATTGATTCTTTGTTGTGAATACAGAATAACTGCACTCGAAATGGAAACTTGAACTGTGGTTTTCTGAAGCACTTTCCCTTTCTATTCTTTTTGTTTTGTTTGTTAATTATGGAACCAATTCATTAAATGGGACTGAGTGTGAGTTTCAGCTTTTCTCCCTTTTTTCCTGAATTAAATGTGGGGTTTTTTTGGTATAGTTTTCCAAAGGGTCAATAAAATATTTTATTTGAATCTTATAGGAAGCTTTCAGCGTTTGCCTAGAATTGCCTTCTCCTAAAATATGCACAACCTATTACCTGACGCTAATATTAGCAATGTTACAAATCTTTAATCCCAATATTCAATTATATATATATATATATATATATATATATATATATATATATATATATATATATATATATATATATATATATATATATATATATATATATATATATATATATATATATATATATATATAAACAATGAAAAATGTGTCCCTTAGCTGGGATTTGAGGGGATTCCCTTGCTTAGTGTGTGAGGACAAACAATAATGCACATAGACATCCTATTCAGCGTGTCAAAGCCCTCTACACGGTTGCTGCGTGTGTGCTCCATTTACAGAAAACAGAGGGAAACCCCAGTAAAAATGAATCAAACGACTTCCTGCACGCAGACAGAAGCACGACCACATAGATGGCGTGCTTCCTTCGAGCAGGGACGATTTACGCATCTTAAAGAACACCTTTCTGCAGCAACATGTCTGAATAAAAAGGAAACACACTTCTGACTGTGTACTGAACAATGCACCGATCAAAATTGCAATTGTTTCTTGAAATGCATAGCAATGTGTCTCAGATTAACAAGAGCATAGAAAGCCATGTGCCTGATGCAGGAAAACCGAGGTAGTTGCAGGTTTTCTGGTTCCCGGATATGCGGCTGCTTGCAGCGGGAGTGTGCAGGGGCCACGCTGGGAACTGCTGCTGCTGCTGCTGCTGCTCCTGCTGGCGTTTTAGGGTTAAATTCCTGCGCGGATCGGGAGCAGCAGACTGTAACTTCTTTAGAATAACAGCAGAAAGAACATAGGGAAGAACAAAACAACAGTCAACATATCCAGGGGCTTGAAAAAAATAAACAAAAAATTAAGAAAATTTGGTATTTTTTTAAGTAGGGTTGTTTTTGTTTTTTTGTCTGTTGGTTTTTTTCTGTTCTTATTTATTTATTTATTTATTTATTGCTGTGGGGAGGAACGTAAAGTTTAATCCTAACAGACACTTAGCGAGTTGGGGGGTCCAGCAGTTTATATTGATCTCCAAGACAATTTTCATATATAAGGCTGTCGGGACGTTTTAATGATGGATCAGCTCGATCCCATACAAAACGCAGAAATGGGCTCAAAAATATCAAATATAACCTAAATGTATCCTTTATTTGATGGCACGATGACCTGAAGGATATTAAGTAATAATTAGAAACTCTGCATGTCTGCAAACTTTGGTGAACAATGAACACTACACTGCACATTTTCGGCATGGTGACGCACATTACGCACGACTGTTTCCCCCTTATTAGATTGAAGTAGGACTTGCATAGACGCAATTTATATTTCTGCGCTGAAATACTGGAATATAACTGCATACGATCACCACAAAGTAAACTACACACAAACTAAATGATTTAAACTCTAAAGAGAAGCATATAGGTTATTCGAAGGTAGTTGACCAGTCCTGAATTAAGCCTGGGATGATCTGTCAAACTCCTATGATCAGAACCAAACATGCAAAACCACAGAAAGTCGGACAGGACATAAAGGTTTGTCTTCTAGTGAATTTTAAATTCATAAGTTTGAATTTGGGTGTTTGAGACATATGCACGCGTTTAATACGTTGCACCACAAATGAAAATATTTGCGCACATTTGCGAACATATTTTATGCCATTTTTCAGCAAATGTCATAATAACTTGATTGGGCTAATGCATACCAGTAAATAAAGAGACTGGGAATTAACAGAGTGTGATAAACCAGCATTAACAAGCACATGTAGTTTCCACAACACCGATTCAAACTATCTGAGCGTTTTTCTTTAGAATGAAAAAGCATCTGTAGAGCGGATAACGCAGCATTCCGCTTCTTCAACACTTCGGGCTCCGCGAGCTGAGATGAAGAGAAAGAGGGACCCCTGGTAGAGGCAGCAGTGCTTCGGCCATTGTTTAACCGGGGTCCCGTTAAACAAACCCCGGCTCGGCTAACAGGGAGGGTCGGTGTCCCTCCTCATGTGCGACACCACAATGGATCAAACTCTTTCTCCTTTGAGAAAAATAGATAGAATTTTAACAATGCAGATTTGCAAAGGTTTTGGAGGCAAACTATAACTTTACGTGATTGTCCGGACTACTCTCACGTTTACTGCATACATTTGCAACACTAGGAGTTGTTCAGGGCTAATATTTATAGAATTTTTGAATTATATAAGTTTAAATATTGAATACATTTAAATTTAATATTGAATTAATTTTAGCTATATAAATTTACTCTGTAGAAGAAAAAAATCAATA